ATGTGATTTAATTCTAATTATTAATCAAAATGGGTGTACAATCAATATATAAACCAGTGTATTTTAGACTATTTTGATCATCATCGTCGTCATGATGTTTGGGGCTAATAAATCTTCACTTATACCAGTTTTTTGTTCTTACTTTCACATCGTGGGAATTGCCGAGGTCCCTCTTTCCGAGTATAAGTGATCAGCGTTTTTTCCAGCACAACAATTGCGATGACTGAATATATAACAGTAACAAACATTCTATTCTATGAAATGTTCTAATAATTAAACAAATATTCAATATGTAAGGAGAACTGAAAGAACAAGTGACAGAATGAACCATATAGGTTTAGTAATATTTACTTGTTAATAGATGGGTAGATGTATGTTAAATAACAATAACGATGATTATTGAGCTTAAATCTAAAAGTAAATCACTCAAAGTTAAACTGATGGTTATTCATTTACATACAGATCGAATTGTTATGGATTCAATCTCTGGTTTACATAATTGAAGAATCGTATATTGTCATAAAACATCTATCTTAGTACTTCCTGTGGTATCCCCAAATCAGAATTATCTGCTCCTAATAAAACATATAAATAACGATAATCTACCATGATTACTTAGTTCTTTAGTGTTAAATATATGTGGTTGTTATATATTAAGATTACATTCTTGATATACCACGTACAATTTGAGCACTCGAATGTTAAAACCTTCCAAGTCGAAAATGAGAAGACAGAAGTTGAGTGAGAAGGACTACTATTCCAAACAGTGTCAAATATGGTACAAAACTCTCAACTAAATCATCATTATAGTCATCCAATCCACATACAGTGGTTTTAGCATTTCTCTAATAGAGAAGCTACACGTCAAGATTCTGGAGTGTTCTCCTAAAAGATGGTGAAATGCCATTGTCTCTTCTTGAGCTTCTTAGAGCTTTGTCGAATTCACTAGTGGGCCGTCCTCACAGTGGTGCATATTGAAATAGTACAAGTGCGGATAAGAAAGTAACTACAACAAACTGATATTGATTCTAATTAGATTCAAACAATAAAAACAGGCCTGTTTAAAATATAATTAAGACAGTTGTATTATTAATTTGAATAAGCTTCAATTAGTGGGCTTCCCTTTTCATGAAATTCCTCAAAAAATGATTCTCACAAACCAGTGTCACTAGATCAAAAAGGGTTGACAAATAGCCATAACAACTAGTATTATCCTCAGCTTTAAAAAGCACTTTACTAATTTAGTTTTACTATAAAGAATTGCAATATTAACGTTGGATAACTGTTTTCTCGTTGAAGTCATATAAATTTCATCAATAATGGTCAACCTATAAAAACAATTGTCTATGCAAGAAAGTGAATGTTTTTTTGGCTAAATGCCACCAGTAACAGCCTATTTTGGGAGAGAACAAACAAACTTTCAGGTGGAGAGAAAATTAGAAAGAGATCTTGGAAGTGGATAGGATATACATTGAGGAAATCACCAAACTACATTACGAAGTAAGCTCTAATTTTGATTTCTAAAGTGAAATAGAAAAGAAGAAGGCCAAAGAACACACTGCACCGAAAATTGGATGCAGACATGAAAAAGATGAATAGCAACTGAAAAGGATTGTCCAGGACAAGGTTCGGTGGAGAATACTGGTGGGTGGCCTATGGTCTTCCATAGTCGTAAGTGAGTAAGAAAGTAAGTAGAAAATCTTGAATCCTGAAACTGAGTAGATAGGTTGTCTCTAGTGGAGTTCATTGACGCGAGAGATGAGGCAGTTATTAACTGTGTGCTAGTGATTTCAGATGGTAATCGAGTGATATCAAGAAAAGGTCAAATGTTGTAAATATAGATTATTGGAATAATTTAAAATGTTTTACAGTCAGTGCAAAATTCAAAAGACCATAAACATAGTCCACTTTCAGGTTGTCACTGAGTACTGCTGTTCAATCATTCACGGAAACCATCAGCTTTACTCTGTATGGACAGGGTTGGTTGATAAAAGTAAAAAATTAGTTTACTTGGAAGTCTAATATCAAAAAAAAAAAATATTATTTAGCCTAATTAATTGAATCTATTGAGATACGTTAGTAGCAAATGAAAAAATAGGTTTTGTTGCTATAGGAATGTAAATTTGTGTTTGTTGGCATGTATGCGTCATGAGCGGTTTGCTTCAACTCAATCGTTTTGTTACAAAATGTTTTCAGAATAGATAAATTGTGCCTAGTGGGTTTAATGCTCACATAAGGTTTCAATCAAAATTTATCTTCAGTATGGGGTTGTGGAAATTAATAAGTTTTTTTTATTGAGATCATGAACCAATTGATGTTAGACCATCATTGAAACCTAGAAACACCGGATGGCCGTTTCGTTCTAGTATGAGACTCCTCAGTGGCAGTGAGCATCCACGATCCCACTCCGGTGATTCGAATCCAGAGCATTCTGTCTTGCTCGCAAACTCTTTACCTCTAGATCACTGAGTCGACATCAAACGGTGTCAATGTTTAACCTCAACAAATTCACGAAATTGCGTAACAATCTTTCATTCTACTGAGGTAGATACCTGTAACCACCTGACAAGGATTAACTCCACCAGTCACGGCTTCTCAATGGAACTCCGATAATTCTCTCGTGAAGCTAGTCACTAGCGAGCACATGGCATTTATCAGTATGGGGTTGTGGAAATTAATAAGTTTTTTTTATTGAGATCATGAACCAATTGATGTTAGACCACCATTGAAACCCTGGAAGCACTAGACAATACTGAAGGCTCTGGGTTCAAATCCTGCAGGCAGGATCGTGAATGCTCAATGCTGAATAGTCCCACAATAGGACAGAACGGCCGTTCAATGTTCCCAGTTATTCAGTGGTAGTCTAACATCAATGAGTCCATGATCTCAATCTAAAAAACTTGGTAACCTCCACAACCCTATACGGATTCTTAAGAAAGAAAATCAATTATTAATCAATAATATATTTAATTATATAATCTGAATTTTTTTTAATAATCTTGGTATTGATTTATTGATTTATTGTTCAATGAATAATGATATAGACATAAATGAATCCTGTGTACACAATTTAAAGAGAGAAAAAATGAAACAAAAGAAAATCAAAAGAAAAGATTCACTGAATAGAAGTATGAGTGAAGAGAATCAAAAAACCAAAAGTTAATAAGAGTGTGTGTGAGAGAGCGAGGGAGATCTGGAAGAACCCTTTACTTTTTAGATTTGAATGTTCACAACGTTGTTTATGTTAAGAAGAAGAAAAAGAAAAAGGAAAAAAGAGCAACAGCAACGACAACAACAACAAAAGAAGAAAGAAAGAAAAGCTGAAAGTTTCGTGTTTCTTTTTTTCTTTTTCATTAAAACGAATTATTTTCTTCTTCTTTTTTTATTATTTTTTTCTCATATATGTAAATATTATAAATAAAGAATAAAGAAAAAAGGAAAAAAGGAAAAAAATGAATGATTATTGAATTTTTTTTCAAAGAAAATAATAAATTATTAAATTCATGTAATCATGATTTGAATCAATAAGGCAACATTCATTCAAAGAGATAGACAGTTAGTGACTGATTGATTGGGTGGGGGAGTGAGTAAGTGGGTGGGTGGTTGGTTGGTTGGTTGATTGTATATGTGAGATCAAAAAAAGAGAGGGGGGTTTCTTATTTAAATAGAGGAATATAAAATAGATATTCATATGTTTCATATAAATCTTATTTGAATTAAATTTAATATCTGTGCATAAAACTATAATCGTTGTTTTTTTATTACTATTTAATTGTTATGAAATAAGAAATATACATGAAAGGAGGGTGGGGGCGGGAATCATAATTGTGTATGTCAAAAAAAAAAGAAAAAAAGAAGAGAAACAAAAAAGAACCACTTGTTATGAAACGATAAAACTGAATGGATCATCTCATTTCAATGATCATTTATTCAACGATAATCATTAAAGAAAAATGAATATACATTAATGTATATATATATATTTGATTATTATGTGATAGAGTATTATTGCAATGATGTAATCACTAAAAATGTTGGCAATCTATTTGACTATGAAAATGAATAACAACTAAGTGACTAGAATCAAATATTCAATGATCATTTAATTATTTACATCAGTATCTACAACATCATGAAGTAAATTCTGTCACGAATATATTAAACAAAAAAATAATAATGATCTTTTCTATTTATTTTCCCTTTTTTGTTGTTGAAAATCATTATATTTATTTGGGAAAAAGTTGAGTAATAGAACTTAGTAGGATTAATGACGATCATTGTTGTCATAGTAACATAATCATAGCAACAAGAACAACAACAAAAACATTGATCGATGGTGTATTTCTTTTCTTCTTCCTTTTTTAAAGTTTTCATATCATCATGATCATCATCATCATCTAACCGATATATGTTGCATGTGAATAAATCATAATAAAAATGATTTAAGAAGAAAAGGAAATTGAGTGTAGAGAGAAGAGAATCAAGGAAAAGATCAATTCATTCTATACAATCATATCATTCGAAAAAAAAATAATTGAAAGTAAGAAAAAAAACGAACGAACGAAGCCTTAAATACTACCTCACCGTCACCGCCATCAACACCACCACTACCAACACAACAAATCATCATGAACTATTCCAATGATGTATGTATATGTCACAACTAAAATTTGATTTGAAATCTTCATAATAAAAAAATGTGAATTTATTTAGTAGTATAAGTAGTATCTTATTCAATGTTATATTTTGTAAAGGAGAATTAAAATAAAACAAACAAACAAGCCAATAGATGAGATTTTGATAAACAATAACTATTTAATATTAGAAATAAATAGAAAATAATTAGTCAAAACAATTTCGGATTCGTTTCTTTCACTTTGTCATTGTTTTGAAAAAGAAATTATTCACAAATAAAATGGGAAGAAACAAAGAAAGAAAATAGTTTGTGATAATAGAAAATATGGTTTTGGCTTCTATACAATGGAATAAACTAATCGCTCTCACTCCCTCACTCACTCACTCACACCCTCACTTGATCTCTCTCACTCTTTCTCTCACTTTCTCTCGCTAGCTCTGAGGACAGAGTTTGTTTCCTTACGAGGCAAGAGAGGGAATGTAGCATAAGATTATTATTATTATTGATATTGTCGTTGTTTACAAATGTAAATTTGAGCGGTTTTTGTATTTCAGCTAAAAAACGACAAACTACTGAATAATGGTAGTAGTATTAATAATAGTAATAATGATGTAATAATAATGAGATTGAGGTAGTTTTCAATAATAATTCACATAAATGATTAATTCTCTAATGTATAGAAGTAAAAGTACCTTTAGAAAACTAATTTTTATTCATTTTTCTTAATTGTCTGAAAGAAAGAAATAAGAAATAGATTATTTGAGAAAAACAATTTGAACAGGTGATATCATGAGTCAATTGATTACCATAGAAAACCTGAAAGCACTGGATGGCCGTTTCGTTCTATTGTGTGACTCCATAGTAGTGTGCATCCACGATCCCGCTCATGGGATTCGAACCTTGGGTTTTGAGTGTAGACGCTTAAGTTTGTTACAATTAACTTTATTAATTGTAACAAATAACTCATTATTTTCATATTATACAAATAATTTTCATGAATTAGTAAACTGAGTTAACTTGGTGTTAGTCATGGCGTTTTATGATGTGACAAATAAATCAATCAGTTAGCCAGTCCTGACCAATATAGATCTTGAAAATATTTGGGCTAGATTGGTTGATATATCGCATCTGCACAAGATCAATTTAAACACAATGAACAGCCAAAGAAGTAAAATTAATGTTATTAAGTGTGCATGAGTGTCACTGTAACCAATTTTCATCCCTATCACCCAATATCTCCAACGACTGATTGCGGTTATTTCGCGGACCCTTACCAGGTAGCCTGCATCTGCCTACATGGTACTGTTCAATAGTTACTGACTTTATAAGCTGATATTACTCTTTGTTATGGCTAAGCCGAATTTCTTTTAACCTACTTTTACACTGGCTAACATCATGAGTTATGATAAGTACTGGTTAGACATGCGTAACATATTCTTTAACTGCATTAGTCAAAAAAGATTCAAAATCCCATCAACTGATTTCCATCTTTGCGTAGTACCCTATACATAGCCTCTTCATTACTCACTCGGTCGTTCTGCGAAGTCTGAGCAATAATTTGAAAACAACTATGATCAAATTCTGTAGACTACGCGTATCTCCTACTTTCAAAGATCGTTTTTCCGGCGGATGTAAGGTAGACTTTATAATATAATCGCGCGCTTTCATCAAAAGTTTGCAATATTTCATGATCCTAAATATTTAAAACTTCAAATTAATACACCAAGGAAGTTTGTAAATTTTCACCTTTTCTAGTAGTGGTATCGGGACGTGCGTTTCGTTCTATTTGGTACTTGTCACCTTCATGTACCAACATCCCAGAGTTGATGCTCACTCGAAGTAAACGGTGCCGGGTTCGAGCCCTGGAGTAAACATTAACTCTGGGATTCGAGCACATCCAGCTGAAGAGCCTCAAATAGGATGAAACGCCATCTTCTATTCGACTCCAAGCCGCCATCCAACTGGCGGAAGATTCAAACAAATGCTACAAAGTTTATTACTGTTATTGTTACTATTATTGCTATTAAGGTAGGATTTTTATCCATATTGTTCATATTACATGATATAAAGTTACTTGGTTTCATCATGTATGAGATTGTGACAAGTTTGAAACTAGTACAATATAAGTATTTCATGCCTTCTAATTTTTCAGCGATCTTTGAAATTGTTTTGTTACTTCAACACGTTAGTTCCCTTCAAATAATAGATGTTTTCCTTAGAGTTTCGCTATCATTTATAAAATATCCTACTATTATATATATATATATATATATATATATATATATATTTAAAGTGGATCATGTGAGTGTCCCTCTTTCTGCCGCTGTAAGAATACGTTCAACTGCTAACCAGTTGGTAATTAGTGGTGTGAGCCCAGTCACAACTAGGGAGTCACTGAATAATCAAAGGTATCAACAGCATCGTAAATCGTCTCTATGATAGAAAAATGTAAGATATCATCATTCATGTAAAATGACTTACTTTACAGGAATCTGTGTAACTATAATTTAATCATTTTAGGTGGCAAAGTCATCTCTAAGAGTCGTTTTAGTAGTAGTGATAATATCATCATCAGTAGCATTATCTTCCTGTTCCACTTTGACTGAATGTATTTCTGCTTTAATTTTTGCTGTTTCGTTATTTTTAGCGTTATTATTCATGTTTTGTATGTCATTAGCATTGATTGTAGTAACATGTGTTTCACTCTCAGTAGGATTTGTTGTAAGTGATGAAGGTGATGATGATAATGAAGATGAAGTTGTCAAAGGATTTGGACAGTAACATTTTTGTTGTGGTTGAGACAAATGACGATGGTGCCGATGATGATGGTGATGGCGATGTTGGTGATGTTGATGACTACCATGAGGATGGTCTATGGATTGTTCTTGACTAATACATGATGATTCAGGACTAGTTTTATTATTGACAGGTGGTAAAAACTTTGGTGTAGCAGTTAGTACAGTGCTTGACGTCGAAGTTTCTGAACTAAACTCGGAGTTCGATGCAAGCTATAGTTTATTGAGATAGACAAAAAAATAGAAGTAAGATATCCAGAAAGGAAATTTTTATAGTTTACATCAAAGATTGTTTTTGATTAAGCTTTGAAAGCCATTAGGCACTGAAAAAGCATATTCTACCTAGTGATAATCCATGACTCTACTATAGTGAGTCGAATTCGAGACCTTCACTGCTGGAAGAGAATGGTTACCCTTAATCCACAGAAATCGCACCATCTGATGAACGTGTCTAAGTTCATTCATTTCACGATGTTGCATAACTGTCTTCCAATATCATTGGTGGGTGATCTTCAGTGCTTCTTAGTTGTCCAACTAAGGTGCAGTCAGCAATGTAAACTATAACAATTTATACAAGCCCTTATTACTTGGAAAAGAAATTATTACACCAGAATAAAGTTTACAAACATTTATCGTGAATTAAGTTGCAAGAGGTTGGTATGAAGCGTAATGGTCTATAGGAAAGAGTCTTGGTTAGAACGCTTTTCAAAAATTCATAGCTAAATATGGGAAGACTGAATCATAATATAATTCTACCCAGAGCGTAGGATAAATCTCACTGATGATTTTCATTGAGTACAAAGCCTAGATTATCCAAGTATTCAACATCTAACATGTTATCAGTGTTTGGGCCACACATTGTTATTCAACCAACAAATTATATATATATATATATATATATATATATATATATATATATATATATATATATATATATATATATATATATATATATATATAACTCCACCCGTTTCTTTTCTAGGGTTACTGCTGGTCTCAAACACGGTTAATGGAGAAGGATTGAGCATGGGGTCAACAACCCCATCCCGTAAATAACAACCTTGCTACAAAGAACGCTAGCCAGAAAAAACAATATATACATATTGAAATAAATTGTGAATACTTACAGTGTGTCCAGATGCAGATCTTCGATGCCTTGTTAATCGAGCTATCAATAAATCTACCACTTTTGGTTGAATTGTATCTAACATTTTCATTGAGTCGTCTTTATCAAAGGTAGATTTAGAAGTTGTATTCTGATCATTTTTCTTAGTAGGTGAAGGTGTTATAGAATTAATATTGCTTTTAGTACTAGTAGTAATAGTAGTAGTAGCAGTAGTAGCAACAGAACTATAAGCAGTTGTTGATGTTGTTATTGTCGTGGTTGTTCTATCGGTTACACTTGTTGAAGTTGTAGTCATATTATTATCATCATCATCATCACAATTTTTATTGTCATTTACAGTTGTATTAGATAATTTTCGTAGAACAGAACGTAATAAACTTAATGGATTGTTTGCATTGACTAAAACAACTCCATTAATCTCCAACAATTCATCACCGATTTGAAGTCGACCGTCCTATGTTAGTATTTGATGACAATAAAAATTAATCCATTAAGTATATACATCAAAAATAAAAATGAAAAACTTATCGGTATGAAAATTGTAGTACTTTCACAATTGAATTCACTAATCTAAGCTAGATTGCTATTGAGAACCTGGAAGCTATAGACCACCGTTTCGTCCTAGTATGGACTCCTCAGTAGTGACTATCCGCGATTCCGCAGGTGCGAGTCGAGCCCAGTACCTTCGATCACGCGCGCGAACGCCTAACCTCTAGGTCACTAAGCCGGTATCCAACGATGTCAATTTCTAAATTTCTAAAGTTTCAATTCTAATAATGAAATGCATATTGTGTATTACCGGTTGCTTAGAATTGAAAATAAATGATAGAAATAAAATTTATTTGTTGGACGGTAATTACAACTAAGAAACATCAGAATAAGCATTTAAGGTAATAATCACTTGAAGAAAATCAATCAATCAGTTATTTAGTTAGTTATGTGTAATATATAAGCTGAAACATATATGAATTGGTTCAAGTTACTAAACTGTATTAGCACAAGATGAAATTATTAAGATAAATTCTAAAGTGGTAGAATTATTAATAGTATTATTGCTAGTAAAAAGGATATTATGTTATGGCTGGCGGAGGAAAAACGTCTCTAGTAACCGTTATGATGAGCAATAACCGAGATCTGATATTAATACACAGTGTGCTACAAGCTGACCCCCACTTGACTACTTCAGCAAAAAAACAAGAGTGGAGAAGAAAGTATATTGGGCCATCGAATAATATGCGCAAATACTCATATATATATATATATATATACCCTTCAGAAAGTCAGTTCATTTCTTAGCCAATGATATGTATTTGTTCTTTAGGTCATTGTTGATTGTGACCTCGTTTGACCATTTCTGATCGGTTTGCAATATCATATTACCAATCGACATAAGTTGGGCATCCAATGGATGCTTGGGGAGGGGACTGAACAGTTATTTCCTCATAGACTTTTTACCAATGAGCATCAATAATAGCTTTTTAAGGGATCGACCCCATCACCTACGGTCTGAATCGAACACCTGACCCCTAGATCACTGAGCAAGGAACTAACGGTACATATCTCTAATATCCATATTGATAATTACCATCTCTTGTCTAACGAAAAGTCATGAACAGTGAATTTAGACTGTTAAGTTGTGAGGTAGTTGAATGTAACAGTAGATGGTCGATCAGTACGGGCTCAGTGGTTTAAAGGTTAATCCTTCCGTTAAACTGTTCCGTAAATTTAACTGAGCTCCACCTGGAGCTCCTCTAGAGACATTGTCGGTCACAAGCTTAGACAGAAGTAGGGAGAGTTGAGAATGGTGGTAGCAAATCCATCCCAAGGAAAAGAACCTTGCTAAAATAACGTTAACCAGAAAAAAACAATCTGAATTCTTCCCTGAGGATATAAGGGTTTATATTAAGTAAATTTATGACACCTCACGATGTAAGCCGAGAATCTTTGGAAGTCACCAGTCAAATACCCCTTCTGAAAACCAAAACAATAATGAATATTGGGACATGGAACATCCGGGCAATGTAGAAAACCTAGAAAACTATTCTAATGGAGGTAGAAATAAAAAACACAATTGGGAGGTACTTCGAATCATTGAAATTTTGTTAGGACCCGAGTTCTACACAGAAGATTAATTATTGCTTGATATAATGGAAAGAAAAGTCAATTTTCCATTGAATTACTCATTATGAGTTTTATTCAACATTGAACATCCGTTTTGATTCAGTGTGAGGATCATTCACTGTAGTAATTGTGATATTTTCTTCTGTATAATAAACCATATTCTTGTATTCACTTGACATGAACTATACTCAGTAAGTGATTTGTTATAACTGAGTATGTGATTTAATCCTAATTACTAATCAAAATGGGTGTACAATCAATATATAAACTAGCGTATTTTAGACTAGATTCGATTCGTCGTCGTCATAGTGTTTGGGGCTAATAAATCTTCACTTATACCAGTCTTGTGTGTTCTTACTTTCACATCAGCGTTTTTTTTTCCGGTACAGCAATCAGCGACGACCAAACATAAGAATTTCTACGACCAGATATAACAAATTTACTGGACGCAGGCTGCATAAGAAGGATTAACTACGGGAGAAGTGTTGATGTTTTTAGGTCATGAAGAATAAAATGCCTTACACACATAAGGAGTACCACTAAATAGATTACATTTTTCATATAGAAAGATCTAAAATGACCTAATCAGAACTTTTACATGAATTAATAATAATTTCAATTTCTGTCATCTCTACCTTACAGTAGCATAAATTTACGTAGACACAAAAACATTTTTTAAGCTCAGAACTAACCACTTATTAGCTGACTATCATCTTATCTATTGAATTGTCAATGAGTAGAAACCTTCCCCATAACACATAGTCACAGCTACTTCCTTAATTATATATTTTAAAGAATGTCAAATTGATTTGAGATTCCCGGAATCAATATCCCCCAGAAATAACACAGGTCTTTCATATCTCTGTTATATAATGTTATCAACATATAAAACTATAGTGTAGTACACATTCCATTTGAAAAAAGAAAAAAAAAGGAGAGAGGGAGGGAAAGGGATACTTACTTTATGTGCAGCTCCACCTTCTATGACACATTTCACTATTACACCACCATATATAGAATCAGCAATATATGATGTATCAGTTAATGAATTGATATGATTTATTTTATCATTATTTTTATTTATATTTGTTTTTAATTTAATTGTATTCTGTGATAATTCATTTAATTTACTTGCTCTTGACGAATTAGATTCACGTACACTAACACCAAGACGCATTTGACGTAAACTTGTTGTAGTTAATGGGTTATTACTATTACTATTATTATTACTATTAGTAATAGTAGTATTAGTAGTATTAGTAGTAGTATCTAAACAAGTTTTAGAATTTTTAAGATGATCTATATTCTCTTCATTGATAGGAATAAGTGGAATATGTAAACGAAGTAGTATCACATCTGGATAAAGCTAAAAATTAAACCAAAAAAATTGAATATGAAATAACAATTAAAACTAAATAATCAATATAGTTTAACAATCATAAAAAATAAGGGAACTTATTTTCTTGGGGGGGGGCGGTGGGGGGAACTATTATTTTCATTCAGAAGAAAGTGATTTTGAAATAAATGCTATGGATATTATATATTCTTTTTGTATTTGTGAAGAAATTCAACTATCAATCTTATGAAATAAACAAACTCCATCCCCCTTGTTTTCTTAATAAATATATAATGGTGAATAATAGAGTTCAACTATATAGGGTGTGAGGTAGTTATCCAGTGTAGACAATTCAAAATGATGGTACAGTATTGTGATTTGGACGAAGTTAAACATGTGAGATTCTGAATAACGCTTCAGGGATCTAAAAATTAAGTGTTAGTACACTGGATTCAACCTCATGAATTTGATCTTGGGTAGTAGAAGCAAGAGTAACTACTGTTGACTAGTCCCATACTAGGATTAAGGAATTATCTAATGCTCAGTAGTTTTCAACATTGATCTAGCTAATAACAGTTCGTGGTTTAACCTATGAAACTATGTAACCATTATACTGGACGTAAATTATTTTGCTAAACTCATGTTGGCTAGATTCCGTTCATATATCATAATCCTAATTTTATGATATTTTACTCTAACATACACGATATCTCACTTTTTTTTCAATACCTTATAACAATCCACTTTGTCGTAAAAATAATGTCAATTAAGAAACTAACAAAGTACATTGTTTTTTATATTGTCTAAATCAATCCATAAATCTCCTATTCTGAATCTGCTTGCTTACCATAGTAATATTCTGACAAATATACGGATAATATCTACTGAAAGAGCTTTTCTCTGTTGAAGTAATCAATATATGGACCTTAAATCGAATTTCGAGACTTTAGAGAAGTGCCCATCCACAACCTAACTGAAATTCGAATCCAGGACATCTCAAATTGACTAAACTTATAAATAATTATCAATGACAAGGTTATAAGTTTTAACCAATGGATATCGACTCAGTAGTCAGGAGATTATGCCTCTGGCTAATGAGGTCTGAAATCTCAGTGCTTTTTGTTTTAGATTGAGATCATGAACCGATTGATATTAGACCACCATTGAAAATTTGGAAGCACTGGACGGTCGTTTCACCCTGTTGTGGGGCTCCTCAGCAGTGCGCATCCACAATCCCGTGGGCGGGATTCCGACCCAGGGTCTTCAGTCTCGCACGCGAACGCTTAACCTACTGGACCGCTGAGCTGGCATCCAATGATGTTAATGTCTAACATCAACCAATCCACTAAATTGCACGACCATCTTCCATTGTACTGAGGTAGATACCTGTCTCTACCCGACACATATTAGCTCCACTGGTCACGGCTTCTCACTAGAACTCCGAGAATTCCCTCACGAAGCTTGTCTCGACTGAGTACATGTTAATTATCAGCATAGGGTTTGTTTTACACTAATTCTCTAAATAAAGTTGGTCTATGATATGAAATGATAAAACAGGATAAATGCTGGATAATTCAAAAGACAATGCTTGTCCATGTTTATTGTATTTAAAATAGTTTACTATACTACACTTAAACAAGAAAAAAATAGTCATTTTCATAGTTCAGATCATGACTCAATCAAAGCTAAACCACCATAGAAAACTTGGGACCACAGGACGGTCGTTTCATCCTATTATATGACTACTCTTCAGTGGGAGGTATGCATTAATGATCCCACTTCGTGAGTTTCGAACGCTAAGCACTTTTTTTTTTAAAAAAAAGCAAATTAATATTCAACTCACTGGATAGTTTGGATGATAAACACGTTCTAAATTAGTTAATCCATCATAATATAATGTCATTTGTAATGGTGGTGATGAACATTTACGTGTATCAAACCAATTAGATAATTTCTCACAAGGTAAATGATTTGTTATTTGATTCATTGGTGTATTTAATAAATTTGGACATTGATAGGTTGAATTTAATAATAAATGACATGTTAAACAATCATTTGTATTTAATTGACATTGATGTACTTGACGACGTACTAATAAATGAACAATACTACCAACTGGTTTAATTCGTAATATGGCCACAATTTGTGCTTGTGATTTACCAATTACATCTAAATTATCAATCTAGAAAAGAAAAAGTGTTAAAATTTAAATAAATAAACTGTAACGCTAGTTACCATGTGATTACCCACCAATCAACATACGACTTATACAATCTTAACACTGTGCCGCCAAACCAATGACGTTCAACCGGTATGAGTAGCTTAGCGTCCTTATTGGTCCTATGTTCGCCTAGCTTATCCACTTGAGTCCAGAACACGAAATACCAGTTTCCAATATGCGAATCAAAACGAACCGGATTGAACCAAGGGCCTCCGGTCTCGCGCGCGAACGCTTAAACTCTAGACCATTGAGCCAGTATCTAACAGTGTTAATGTCTAACCTCAACCAATTCACGAAACTGTAAAGTACTTTAAGGAATTATCATTCATATATCTTAACACATACTTTTGGTAGGAAATCGTTAAAAAAACATCTCAACCATTGACATAGTAGAATATCAATATAATTAGCCTAATTAATCACTGATTGTACTTAATTCAAAAGTTATAGTATATGCATATAAGATGTTTTATTTACAATTTGGGTATATTTAAAGTGTCAGAGTGTAATAACGTGATTTATCCACCAATCAACATACGACTTATACAATCTTAACACTGTACCGCCAAACCAATGACGTTCAACTGGTATGAGCAGCCTAGAGTCCTTATTTGGTCCTATGTTCGCCTAGCTTGTCCACTTGAGTTCAGAACACCAAATACCAGCTTCCACTATGCGAATCGAAACGAGTCGAATCATTTATTTCAAACATACTGGGTTTATATATCAGCCAAACAAACCGCATCGCACCATAAAATAGGAAATTAACATTTGTACACAATAGAGCCAAAAAGTGACTGTGAACGTGGGAGGCAGTAGTTAATAAACTGAACATAGATTAAGAACCGTAAATCGTACAATCATAAATTATAAGTCAAAATAAAGCTTATAATAAGAGGAATATAAATATACACAGTCTAGTTAGTGAATAGTTATACCATGAGAATATATAAATAATATTATTCGATTAATAGGTCTCAGACATTACTCGTAATGTAATCTTCGCCCGGATATAACATAGACAAAATTAATGAAAAGAATTGAAGAAATTCATTTTCATTCTTGATGAAGTTTTATTCATAGAGCTAGAGATAGTTTAGTTGTGAAGTATTCATGGTTTATTTATGCTGATCATATTGTTCGTAAGAAAAATGATAAAAGTTCTATTGACCAAACTATCTAGCTTTATCATAATGGTCAATTTGAGATATAAATCTTCTACACTATCTTATTTTCAGTTTGTTGTTTATCAGAATAACCAACTAACCCCACCCCCACCCCCAACTGATGAGATTATCAAAAGGTGTTTAGTGAATCAATATATATATGAAAAATAACTTCAGAAACGAAGAAACAATTTGCTCAATCATATATAATAGAAAGATTCTAAAGCTATTTTAGATTTAACATCTATGACAAGCCACAACACAGTGAGTTTATTCAATTCTACTGCAGACAGAATGACATAACAGACAAGGAATAAAAATGATTAATTAGCCATAAAAGTAATTGCACAAATGAGGATGAATTTTTACAACGCATCAAGTGGATGCTTCGTTCATCTTCACAGAAATAAAGATAAATTAAAAATAAGGCTAACATTGATAGACGTAGACAAGTATGCACATGAATTAGATTGAAGAAATTCTGTATTAGAGAAAGTTCAAGAATGTCAAAGAATTTCTAGATTCATGAACTTCAGATCAATTAACAATCAACAGATAGATCTATATAAGCTCAGATTTTAAACCCATACTCGAGGAATCAACCAGTCATAATTCTTGAGGCTAACTGTCAAATGAACTTAATATGAAGACAAAAACAAACGAAGATAACAAAAGCTTAAAAGGACAGTCATGTACAAACTTATCAAAACGAAATAAAATAACACTTGTGGAATAAATGGAAGGCTAACTTCAATACAATGTTGTTTAGAATAACATTGAAAGCTTCACAATAAAATCCGAAAACTAAACATTAAAACGATAAATAATATTACCAAGCTATATTCAGAAAGGGATTTTTCGGAGATTGTAATAATTTAACAGTTGAATTCATGAGTCAATTGAAGCTAGATTACCACAAAAAAACTTGGAAATACTGGAAGGCAGTTTCGTCCTATTTTGGGACTCCTTAGTGGCATTGCGCATCCACGATGCCGTCTCGCGCGCGAACGGTTATCCTCTTCGCCACTGATGGGTTCCATACTAGGCTGGAACGGCCGTCCAATGATTCCAGGTTTTCCATGGTAGTCTAACTTCAATTGACTCATGAATGCAACGACTCAAGTAAACTCTATGCTTATATATGTAATTATATTAGATAGAAATAAGTTAAATGGACAATTATTATTTAGATGATAGTAATAATAATAATAATAAAACATAACTTGAAAATCTATGAGAAATTGGATAATAGTTAACACACGCAGAAAGACACTTAAAGATTCATCAGAAGTGTATTAATGAGATTAAAATAGAAATAATTCGTTTTTACATTGTTTTATATCTTAGTGAAGTGATATTAGTTTTTAGTGATTTTCTTCATAAAACTCATTTTCAATCTGATATATAGATACAAATTGATAAATGAATTTTTGTCACATTGATAATCTATCAACGCGGTTCAGCAAAGCAAAAACATCATATCTACAACTGGATAATATCTGGAATTCAAAACAACTGTCTGTCAACCAACACCAAAGTCGGAATTTTCAATACAAATGTCAAAACAGTTCTACTGTATGGGGTGATAACCTGGAGAACGAAGAAAGCCATCCAAAAGAAGATACAAGTGTTTATTAACAGTTGTCTACACAAAATACTTCTAATCCATCGGCTAGACACACACAACTGCATCCCAAGCCAAGTCCTCACATGGAATTTCAAGGCCAAAGGAAAAGAGTAAGACTAAAGAACACATTATGCCGAGAAACGGAGATAGACATGAGAAAAATGAACAAAAATTGGATAGAACTGGAAAGGAAGGCCTAGAACAGAGTGAGTTGGAGAATGTTGGTTAGAGGCCTATGCTCTATTAGGAGTAACAGGCGTAAGTAAGTAAGATAATCTATCATATGTATGTAAAAATTAATAACAACAATCTATGAAATGTAGTCATAACATAAGATAAACCTCAGTAGAAAAATGTTTATTTCAATGGAAAGAGAATGATGATGTAATTTCAGATGTAGGGTAATGATTGAGGCTGTTCAACAGAGAAAGTTGGACTTAATTTTTTCTTTGGCAGTCGTCCGCAAGGTTTATGTACAATCTAGTCAGAACCGGTGAATTCTGGGAGTTTTTATTTTCTGTCACCCAGCGACACAGAGATGTTACTACTGGGCTATTGTGCCAGTGACTGGCCTACTGTGGGACTGAGATGTATTTACTATGGATAGACCATATATATATATATATATATATATATATATATATATATATATATATATATATATATATATATATATATATATATATTCAGGTCATCAAGCTAACCGAATCGACATTCTTATTTGGCCGAAAGCAGTGAATATTAGAAGGCCAGGGTAGTTTCAAAAACTGTATAAATTTTTTATATACAGAGGTTATATTTCTTATGTGTATTACTATGACTTCGACTAGATATACTAGGATAGAGCTTCTGATTACTTTCGTTATTCAACGAGGTGGAGTGATATTCGGCAATACGATAACGTATTTTTCTGGTTGTACGCCCAATATAAGAGATTTCGCATGAGTAGCAGATATGGTGAATACACTTAGAGGCAGAAGAACAAGTCAATTTATCTTTATTTGGTGAATTGACTAATGGCCGACTGAAGAAAATAGGGCATAATCTTGTTGCATTGAATGTACATTATAAGGCATTTGTATACGTCGGGTTACTATTTCAGTAGCTTTATTAACTTCGAATTGTATTTTCAAGAATATACGCTTTTTTTTGATATCGTCAATAGTTTCACTGTCAGTTTAGCTGCAGACATATGTTTCGTTGGGAAATTTAATGGGTATCCGTGCTTACGTAATGTATCATGAATACGTTTTAGCTCTTGTTCAATGTGATTATCAATACAAATAATTTTGGCTCTGTGGATCAAACATCTGATAAAGTTGCTCTTACACTGTAACACCATAAATTTCGAAAAGTGTGTATATTAGCTTTATAAAGTTGGTTTACAATAAACACTACCTTTGTAATATCTCAATAGGAATATTTAGTTTCTTTATAAATCATGGAATTTAAGCAAACCTGAATGATTTATCAACAACAATCATATTATCATGTTCTTGTAGGTTAATTCAAGTGTTTTCAATCTGATTTTTGTAAACAATCTTTGTTGTTCGTTTGATGTTGTTTACTTGTATCTTCCCATTGTTATTAAGGACTGCACTTGATAAGTCTCTTGTTGACAAATGTGCATCCTGTGCGGACTGCTTCAATATTATTTGAAGTCACAAGCTTTATAGTCAAAGATGGATAGTGGCTAGCAGTAGAATCCAGGACGCGCTCCACTTCGTCCTATTTGGTACTCGTCAGCTAGATGTACCTGCATTCCAGAGTTGATGTTCACTTTTTAACTCAAACCCAGTACAGTTCTCTCCAAACGCAATCGTATTATCCACCTACCTACTGAGTCCTGATAGCCACCTGTTTGTGTAATAAGGTGAAGTTCAAATTCACTTGGTGTTATTTACTTGTATCTTCCCATTGAATACGATGTTGGGTTCGAGTACTGAAGTGAACGTTAACTCTAAGATTCAGCTGACGAGTCTGAAATACAGAGAAACACTCGTCCTCGATTCTACTACTAACCATTATTCATCTTTATTATTATTTTTAATTTTATCAAACAATTAAATCATCATTATTAAATTAACTTATTTACTTGTATCAGTCGATCACCAACACGTAATTGTCCATCTTTTATAGCTGAACCATCAGGTAAAATATTTTTCACATATACAGCAAATAACGATTCATTCATTGATGAATTCAATGTTGATTTAGGATGAATAAGTTTTGTGGTTAAACTAAATCCTAAACCACATGAAGCTGTATTGTAGAAATAATCAATAATGTAAGGAAAAGAGAAAGAAGAAAATATAATAAATTACAACAGAAGAACAATAAAACAATTCATATAAAAGAGATGATTGAAAATCATTATTCTCATTTCATCAATAAGAATCATACACATGTTGGAAACTAATTTCGAATGGTAATTCCCTTAAGTTTTAATGAGAAATCATGATTAATGAAGTTCAATCATTATCTAGCTTGTGACAAATACCTTTTGATGACAATGAGTAATGGTTACTCATTATGCTGAATTGACTGGAGTTAGAAATACAATTGGGTGACTGGTCAAAGTTTAAGCGTTTCCCCGTTGGTCCTGGGTGTGATCCCCTTTTGTTACAATAGTGAATGTACATTGTTAGAGAGTTTCATACTTGTTAGGTTCGTTAAGCTTGAATGCTACTACTGATTTGGCTTATTCGGAACAGAACAAAGGATCAAGATTCAGAGATTCGATAGGCTATTCTGGTCCGTTGTCCCCGACTCAGCTAACTCGATCAAGAAGTCTTGGTAAGGCGTAGAAAGTTTATTCTACAGGCAACCAGCAGATACCAGGTCAGGTCAGATCAATCAGGCACACAAGTCAAGCGTATTTATACAAATATTTATAATCGATATTGTCATGGTAAAATGTTTTTAAGCATTAATCAATAAGTTCATCAAGCGACAGCCACTCAAATATGCAATCGATAAGTTCGTCAACTGACTTCTGTTTAATCATTTAATCGATAAATTAATCGATATGATAAAATTACAAAATATGAGTTTTGGGATCTATCGTCCCTAACAATCTTATGAAGAAACAGATGTTCCCTACTTCATAGTTCCCCACGGTTGTTTAAATGAGGTCGATCTGTGGTAGAATCTATATAATTACTGAACTAAAATTAATGAAGTGTCATTATACAAATTCAAGATGCTTACTTAAGCGTTAACTAATAGAGGAAAATTCATACATAGATTGTTACTTAGATTTGTTTCTAGTTGTCATTCATCGGTAAAACGTGTTTGTATCATCTAGTATCAGTTGTTTCATCTGTATTTTCATATATTAAGATAAAACTGTTATAAAAGACTGGGTACTGATTAAACTGAGTCAGTCAGCTACAACATAGGACTAGGCATATATATACATCGGTTCAAGCTGCCATACTTCACTAACACAACAAGATGAACACCGGATTCATAGAATTAGTTACTTCAATGGTGGTAATATATAAAAGAAAGATTACAATAAGGATATAGTACAGGAAGAAAGAATTAGTTCATAGAAAGAAAGATATGAAGCGGTTTTATTCTCTTCGTTTAAGGGAAGACAAAGAGTGTATACACCTACACCATTGTGATCCATTCTGAGCCATGTCACCCACAGTCTCCAACAATTGGTTACGATAGTCACGCGGACCCCAACCAAGTAGTCTGCATCTACCAACATGGCTCAGACTAGAAGTTAGTGTCTTCAAGCACTGATGCAACGTTTTGCTTTGGCCACCTCTATCTTTCATCCACTCGTCTCCAACACCGGTTAGCATTGCACGTTGTGGTAATCGGTGTTCAGGCATACGCAACATGTGGCCCAACCATCTCAGTCGATGAAGATTCACAACCTTATCAACTGATTTACCATCATTCCCTTATACCCTGCGTCTAACCTCACTATTACTTACCCGATGATTCCAGCAGACGCCAACAATATTTCTAAGGCATCTGTGGTCAAATACTAGTAGCTTACGGGTGTCTTCTACTCTTAATGGCCATGTTTTGCTGCCGTAAATTAAAACAGAATGGACTGCCGCGCAGTTTACTCGTCCCTTAATTGATAGACGGATATCTCGTCTTCGCCATAGGTGACGTAAGTTGGCAAAAGCCAAACGAGCCTTTTGAATCCGTGCAGAGATTTCGTCAGACACCAACCCATTAGGGCTGATCAGACTTTCAGGATAAGTGAAGTTGTCAAGGCGTTCGACTGCTTCACTCCCTATCCTTAGTTCAGGTGCTGACGCAGACCAGTCCTGAAGCAACAAGTCCTGATTAAACTGAAATAAATAGCGCTATTCATGAGTGTTTCTTCCAAGCTTTTGTACAAAATAACCTAAATTTACGTGAGAATTTGGATTGATTTAAGTCTGGAAAAAAACAAAAATGGTAGTGTAAGATCCATTTTGAAGGTTTTGTGTGTGTATGTCAAAATCCCTCCATGTATACGCTTGTAATTTGTTCCTATTGATTCCTTCAGTTGTACATTATGTTAGTCTTTTTGATTCCATTTGAGATTGTCATATTTGTATTTTATTATAATTTTATTTTTCTTACGCCTTCACTGAGTTTCTATGTTTCTTCTTGAACTGTATTAATGTTGTTTTAGTTGATACTTAGTCTTGGTGGTAACCATATTGATTTGTTCTTTCATTGATTGTAGGGCATGCATTGATTGGAATTGTGCATTTTTTGATTGTGAATTGAAGTACTCTTCCAGAATTAGAAACACTCTATGTTATAAAGTAATCAAATATTATCTTTCGAACGAATCTGTACATGATCTATCCAGAAAGGATAGAATTATATTTATTTGTTGCGCTTGACTTGATTAGTTTAACGTTGATGTGGTAATATTTGTTTAAGTAATAATTTACATTTATATTTATAATGAACTGTTTATTTACCCAATCACTTTGTTTTGGTTTCAACTAGACAATAGCGCGTATCTAAACTATCTGGACAGTTATTCATCAGTTCAAAGCTTAGTTTAGATTCTACAGGTAGATTGTCGATTACAGAACGTCAATATATCCTTGTTTTAATTTACATACCGACACCATAACCTCATACCCATCGATGAGCAATATCCAATCAAGAGATTACATTGATAAAGAAATATGCGATAGGAATGGGATTACAATTTTTAGAAAAGCAAACAAAGAAAGAAATAGGAATAGTATATGATATGAAATACAAGTCAGCTATTAATGTATCTAAGAAAAATGTTTAAACTGGTTAAAAGAGTTCTATTAACTTTTATAAGGAATGTAAGAAGAAATTACTGGAAAGCTGTTATTGATTTTTTGTGGGACCCTTAATTTTGTCGTCATTTAGATTGGAAGATGTTGTCGAAAGGGCTCTCCACTTTAGTGACCCGTGGATCTGACACTAAGGTGATAGTAATGATGATTATTGTTGAATTATATATGTCGTCTATTCTCGTATATATTCGTCGACTTAAATCGCGTTAGTCAATAACGGAATTAAATAAGTCAAATAACGAGAATGGACTTGTGAATACATATATTTTTGTATATGAGGTGAATGAAATAGAACAAAGCAAAACGACGAGCAGTGGAGATGGCGGGTTAGTCAACTCCCATATAACCAAGTGTTAATCAATATTTATAGTTACACAAAAGTAAGTTACAGACATGTGATGAGTAATGGGATAAGAAATGTACACACACCTACGCGCTCATATAAAAACAGTAAAGATTGAATAAATAACAAGGTCAGAATGTGACTCAAGTAGATTGAATAGAATGGGCTGTCCGGAAGCTAGAATAAGGTATATGGGCTTAACGTAATAACCGACACTACAGATTCCCTTTCTGAGATATGTATGATAATGAGCAAAGTCATAAAGTTGTATTCATCTCTGAGATGTTAACCAAGAGGTCGTTATGAACCAACAAGTACCAGTCCTATGCAGCATGTTTTCGTAACACAACACTATATTCATAAACTTAATAATTCTCCATTCTTCCAACCTCATGTTAGTATCGACAATTGACGCATAATTTGAAAGCGTTTGGGATGACCCATGTTTTTGTATAGTGACATTGACCGAGTTATCACCGTTGAGCTCGAAAAATATTTTTTCGAACCTCCGTATTACTAAAATAGTATTGACACTAGGAGTCAAAAGTCCTTCGGAGACAACTATGATCGAATACAGAGAGTTGTCGAATATACTCAGCTATGAGGGGTAAGTTTTCGCAATTACCGAACAAAACATCTCTCAATGAGTCCTTGTAGGAAGAAAACTATCCTGTGCAATAAAATAAAATCTGCGTTATTCCGTTAAATATTATTCAACCCTAATAAGTGCCAACAGCCACATATTAAGCAGGAAAAAACTCAATATAAATATCTTGATTTCCAAAGAGATTGAAAATACCATATGACTTACATTTTCGTAATGTAATCAATATATCTTCTTCTCTGATACAATCCGATGTACAACAACATGTTATCGGCGGTATCAATTCATTATCTATATTTCTGTGATCTATAGAATGTAAATGTGGTGGATTTAGTGCAACATGTTGTTGTACATTACAAACATTATTAGTATGGATTTGTTGTTGATGATCATGATGATGATGATGACGTAAACAATAATTATAGTGTATACAATTTGATACATTACATAATCCTGATTTATCCATATTACATGTAATATCACTTGTCATTGGTGACACCGCCAATGCCATAGCATTTGCAGCGACTCGTAAACGATCATCTCGTTCTATTCCAGCCTCCATCTCAGCTAATAATAATTGACGTCTAGCTTCAGATTCACGACGTTTCGATAATAATTCAGTCATATGAAGAATTTCAGCCTCAGCATCTATTTGATGCAATGAATCGCATACACAACACTTGATCGCCTCATTATCTTGACCAATGTTATCTGGTATAATTAAATCGGATTGTTTTTTATTATTACCATTATTATTGCTATCATACATAGGATATTGCTTCTCATTTTGTTCACTTCCTTCATGACTACTATGACTACCATTTCTAGTAGTAGTCATAGTACGGTGTGTTTGTTCCCTGGAATCTTCATTGTAACAGTCATCATCAATTTTATGGTCACAGATTACTCTGGATTCACAGTTTATAGGATCCGTAATATTTGCTAACTGATTGGAACTTTGAACTGAATTCATTTGGACTTTATGATTTTCACGTTCTTCTGATTTAGGAGATGTATTAAGGCTTTTAAACAAGAATTTATGTAAAGAGTATCATGATTTGTATTGTAGTAGTGACAACTTTATAATGAGAGAATACAAATAATAGAAACGAAACAAACAAATTACTAAATCTCACTTGGACTATCTAATCTTCATTCTATACACATCTTTCGTTTTTATGTATTTTTTTTACACTACTTATAAATATTCAGTAGCTTTTGACATTAAACCAAATTTCCAGGACCGCATAGTATACCGTTATCCTGCCAATCGTTTTTACACTTTAATAAATACCAAAAATATTTTTCACCCATTATTATCTAACAAAACTACTGACTTCCAGAATCAATTCCTTAGCTACTATTATGACTTTGAACGTAATCAAGGACAAAGAGAATGTAACCCAGGTATATTTATATGAACAAAATGCAGGAAATCATGCTATACTCCATTTTATGCTTAGTAGATCTAATTCATAACGTCGTTAAACGAATATGTTACTGATTATATAATCAGTTTTTATTTCAGTATATATTATTGAGAAGGAACTGACATGTGTCACATAAACAGAATTGATGCGACTTCCTTATTTCATATAAAATTGAAATGAAAAATAGTTACTTTTATAACATTAAGTGAAAATCATTTATACAACATGAATTTCAAATAATTACAGTACAACTATGCATTACTCCTAGACAATTAGCAATTTCGTACAGGGAATAAAAAGCGTGTTCTCAATTACATAAGGTTAAATGTTGAAATACAAGTAAACTAATTACTTATTTCTAAACATGTATCGTTTTGGTGTTAAGGTTTCATTGACAGGGATTAGGAATTCGCACCATTGATGGATTAATAAAAGATGACATCAGAAATCCGATCATTACCGATTGAATAAACTGGCTCTTATAAATTTATTTCATCTCCTTAACTACCTTGTTTTTCTGATATTTTATACTTTAGATACTGTTGTAACTTTTGAGAATCATTGGAATGTCGAAAGACAGAAGAGATTAAATAGTCATTTAGAATTTCTAGTTTACTATAGATGACCATTAAAATTTTGTATGATTTCAGATCGGTAAAATATTCACTTGAGGATCATATCCTTCCTATATTGATTTTGGTAGTCTACTCCGGACGTAAAACAAGTATTCCTGACCCAGCGATGAGGATAATTATAATACCAAAGTTATACTTAATTATTACTCTTATGGAATGGACTTAAATTTTAATTGTTTATTCATATTTTATACTAAATATGTTCGGTCATTTGTTGATATAACTTGATAGAAGTAATGACTATAGTCACATATTGACCTGTTGATACTTCTTAGGAAAACAAAAGTAATGAGATTTGTGGAGATTGTAGTATTTTTAACAGTTGAATTAATCCATTCTGAGTTCGAGTCCCGCGTGAGGGATCGTAGTTGCGCACTTCTGAGGAGTCTCAAACTAGAACGAAACGACAGTTCATTGCTTCTAGGTTTTCAGTGATGATCTAGTTTAGATCAACTCATGAATTCAACATGTAAAAAAACTAGAAGCATCTTCTGTAGAACTGACTCCTGATTTCTATCAAATTTATTATCAGTATTTGTTCATAAATGGTAGATTAAACTCTGTCGAGTTATATGTACTCATTTAGTTCCAAACATTGTTCATATTCTCAATTCACTTGAATTCTATCAGTCTATCAATAATACATTATAAAACCTAATTGGATTAATATACCGTTAGCTCAACTCGTTATTAAAAAAAAATAGAAAAAATGTTCTGTAATACTGTGGTGTGAGCTACTTATATTCACATAAGTAGCATATATTGATGATCAAGTATAGAATGTATTTCAATAGAAGATCGACAAGGAAACAACGGGAACAGAAAGTAATCAGTATGAAAATATTCGAACAGTGAAATTGAGACAATGATCTGAGATCTTCTTGAGGAATAGTCAAGTTTGAGACGATGGATTAGTATTTCACACATAAACTATTTACTGTATAGTTCTTAGATTTCATGTTTCACTATTCAAATACATTCGATTATCCTCACTTGTATTGTTGTTCATTATAAAACATTATGAAATAGAAAACCATAAATACAATGTTTTTATTGAAGTTTTACCTGGTTAAAATAGTTTTAGGTGATCGTTTCGGTGGAGTTGGTTTACGTATGATTGATTGATTCAAATCTGATCGATGGAATTGATTAGTCTGTTTTATATCATTACAATATGAGCATATACAATTGATATTTGAATTTTGTTCAAAATTCATAGTAGCTATGGTTGTTTCTATGGATGTAATTAATTGATTCAAATGATTTGGATGTAATTTATCATTATTTATGATTGTATGTTGTTGTCTTGTATGTTGACATGGATGATTTAATCTGGAAGCACAATTTGAATTATCATCTTTTAATTGTTCTTCTTCTTCTTCTTTATTCATGGAATTACTAAAATAAAATGATGTTCAATTCAATGTATTTATTATTTAATTTAAAAATGTTTCTAATCTTATATAATTTAAAACTGTTATTGATGGATAGTGGTTAGTAGTGGAATCCAGGATGAGCATTTCGTCCTATTCAGGACTAGTCAGTTGAATGTACCTGCATTTCAGAGTTGATGTTCACTCTGGGACTTGAATCCAGTACTGCTCACTTAAAACATCAACACATTATCTACTTAGCTAATGAGTCCTGATTCACTGAGATAATTTGTTTTGAATGTTAAAGTTTAAATTGTCTTTCTAGAACAACTTCTATTGGATATTATGTGTTGATGATGTTGTTTGAAAAGATAATTTGAAATTTTCACTGTTCTCTCAAAGACTCATCTAGCTGATCTACAAATTTCATTATTCATCACAATACTACTAATTATAATATAAGTAAGAAGTGCTCCGTTTAACAACTTACATTGCATGTGAACAAACTCGAAACAGGATCTCATTATAATTTTCATACAAGAATTTTGTATTATTTATATAAATTTTGTTTGCATGTTTCAATGTTTTGTTGCTAATTAGCCTCTTATGGAGGTAATGGAAGTGAAGATTAGTTCTCACGATAGAAGGTGATCTAAAAAGTGACTTTCAATAACCAGAACGACATCATAAATTTATTTAAAATCTCTTTACGTAAGAAACAGTTATCGGAATTTCAAGGGACAACATCATCCAAAAAAGAAAACATTAATTTAGAATTAAATACATCTCATTAGCCTGGAATGTGCATAGTGGATGTGATTCAGATATAAATGCGTAGATCGGCAAAGCAAGAACATCATATCTACAACTGGAGAACATCTGAAATTCAAAACAACTATCTGTCAACAAAAACCAAGGTCATAATTTTCAGTACAAGTGTCAAAACAGTTCTACTGTATGGGGTGGAAATCTAGAGAACAAAGAAAGTCATCATCCAGAACATACAAGTGTTTGTTAACAATTGTCTACACAAAATACTTAGGATCCGTTGGTCAGACACTATCCGCAATAACCTTCTGTAGGAGAGAACAAACCAGATGACAGTGGAAGAAATCAGAGAAAGTAATCAGAGGAAGAAATCAGGAAGAAGTGCTGGAAGTGGACAGGACATACATTGAAGAAAGCACCCAACTACGTCAAAAGGCACGCTCTCACATAAGAACCTCAAGTCCACAAGGGGAGAGGAAGATCAATGAACACATTATGCCGAGAAATGGTGAGAGATATGCGAAGAATGAAGAACAATTGGATAGAAGTAGAAAGGAAAGCTGAGGACAGAGTGGGTTGGAAAATACTGTTTGGAGGTCTATGCTCCGTTGGGAGTAACAGACATAAATAAGTAAGTAATATATAGATATATAACGAAATTAATGAATCAGTGCCAAATGTATGTATTGTAGGCTGGAAACACATTGTGTGGGGTTGTGAAAGAATAACTGACAATCATACACTTAAACCGAATTATTAACTTCAGCAGTGTTATGAATTAGATGAGTAAACCTGACATGGATTATACGATCATCATCGTCACTTCACGGATCGATCAAGATTGAATAAGTTGACCATTAGATCTCAACTTATTCATTTAAATATAACACACTTCTTACAAATGCAAAGTCCTTAGAGTTCGATTCCTAGTGCAGTTATAACTGTACACAGATGATGAGTACCATACTAAAATGACACAGCAGTTCATTATACCATAGCTTTCGACTAATATACGACTCAATTAATATGTGTCGAAAATAATCTTAATTTCATACCTCTTCTTTACATTAACTCCACATTATCATGATGTCTGTCATTAAATTACTGACCGCACTTTTTGCATCAAGTTGTATCAGGTACCAGATATTCAAAGTATAAGTTCAATAATAATATTATTATAAGAAACAAAATGATTGATTGTTTCCTCTTCTACAGAACACAAATAGTATCGTTTTGCTTAGTTAATAACACTTACGGACTTGATGGGGATTTATCTGAAACTTGGTGAATTTGTCGAGATTTCATTAAGTTCTTATAATCTCTGTCGTCTGTATCTGAATCACTAGTATGTGGTGTATCAGGATTCTTTTGTATTGATCGACGGGGTGGAGGTGGTGGTTCTATGACTGATTGATTTATTGACATATTAAGAGGTATGGAAATAGCAGAAGGTGAAGTTGTTACAGTTGTGCTTATTGTTGTTGGTGTAGGGGGTGCTGGTGCTCTGGAATTTCGATAACGTTTTTGTTTTCTATTAGGACGAGCACAATAACTTTCTGAAACTTCTTGAGACTGAGATGGAGAATTTCGAGATAATTTTGATAACACTGGTGGTTGTGGTGGTGGTGATGACGATGATGATGGTGATAATGATTGTAATTCAACATTTTCATCAGAGCATATTTGACTAGATGAATTACTGTACAATTCAGTTTCTTTATTATGAAGTGATTGTGCAGTGTGTAATCTGTAAAAATGAAATTTTTTTCAAAACAAGAATCATAAATTTTTAAATCTCAGTGTAGATGTAACCGAAATAATAAACTACATATATTATTGAATCTAGTTAATGACCCAATGTATTTACTTACTTACTTACGCCTGTTACTCCTCGTGAAGGAGCATAGGCCTCTCACCAGCATTCTCCACCCAACCCTGTCCTGGGCAATTCTTTCCAGCTCCTTCCAGTTCCTGTTGATCCTTTTCATATCTGCTTCTATTTCCCGACGTAATGTGTTCTTTGGTCTTCCTCTTTTACGCTTCCCCTTCAGGATTCCAAGTTAGGGCTTGCCTCGTGATGCAGTTTGACGATTTAATGTATTTACTGGTTTTAATAAAATCTGATTACTTGAATACAAACCTAATTACTGCGACATTCAAGTTCTTTGGCAGATTACTCTTTGTGTGTTTACTATGATAAAACGATAAAATAACTGCTATGGAATTCATGAATTAAATATATTGTTAAGTCCGTTTACGCTCTTTCTTAGAGTTCAACTATTTTTGCGTATTAACTTATGCTACTTGTATATAAATTCAGTAACACGTTTCGTTTTTAATAACTTTTGAACATAGTGTATAGTTGATGTCTTGTAACATTCTTATTTATTTTCATAATGACTTTCACTTTGTTTATTGTTATAATTATATTCTCTAAACAGGTTTTGTATACTTTTGAAGCCTATTTTCCACTTGCAATAGGTCCATATTTTTGGGCTTTTAGTAGCCGTTTGTTTATTGATGATCTGTAGTAACTTACCAGTCGTTATTTGCGATATTGTATATTGTAATTACTTTTCCTGTAATTATTTGAGACATGTTTTTCTCTTCTACGAATATAAACGTGTTAGCCAGCATAAATACTTCAGCATTTAAGGTTTACAATCAATTTACTTATATTTTGTACTAATAGGACAGTTTTTTTAGATAACTCTTGGACTTTAGGACTGTCTGTCAATTGACTTAATGTTACGCAATAAGTAAATGTATCTTATAAAAAAAATATAACTTAAACTGTTCATAGATAAAAAGATAAATGACAGTCTGTTGCTAATCGAAACAAAACGTTTTTCTACGAGTACTTTCTGAATATTCACATGTTGATTGGATAAAAAGACGAGGATCTACCAAGATCTTTTTCAGTATAATCCAACATTATGGCATTGAATAATGTATTCATTATCGATATGTAGCACAAACATATCGATATATTTCTAAAAATCTGTAAACATACACAACTTACATAGTGACTGGTGATAAAGACTTTGGTGAACTATGATGGACAATATCATGAAGATCTTCAGAATTACTATTATTATTCTGAATTGATTCTAACAAATTATTATTGATTTGTTTCATTGAATAAACTTTTTTACAAGGACTTTGTTGTGGTGTTGTTTTATTCGAACTAGTTATATCACCTATATCTAAATCTTCTTCAGGTACTGTTGATAAAAATGATGTATCCATTAATAAATCATCATTATTAACATTATTTATAATACTAATATCGGTTTTATTCAATGCAGTTGATGATAATGATGATAATGAATTAGGAATTGATATTAAATAATCATTTAATGATGAAACGGATGATGGAAGTATCATATAAGTAGGAAATGCATTTGTTGTCATTGATAATTGATCATTATTTAATTTTGATTGTGGCATATTAACATATTCATTCTAGTTTAGAATATTAGAAAGAAAAAAGAAAAGTTCGAATGTGTTTATTAGCAATAATAATGATAAATGATATAAATTGAAAATACAAATGTTGAAGAACAGGAATATCTTCTAAGACAAAATCAGTCAGTTAGTCAGTTACAACGTAAGACCACGCAGATAAATGCGCATCAGTCCAAGTTACCATACCTCATTAGCACAAAGGGAGAAAGAATTAGTTGGTAGAAAAAAAAGATATGAAGCCATTTAAGTCTCATAGTTTGAGGGAAGATAGAGAGTGTATACACCTACATCATTGTGATCGATTCTGAGCCATTTCACCCACAGTCTCCAGCCATTGGTTATGATAGTCACGCGGACCTTAACCAAGTAGTCTGCATCTACCAACATGGCTCAGACTAGAAGTTAGTGACTTCATTGACTGATGCCACGTTTTGGTTTGGCCAACCCTAACTTTCTTCCAACCATCCCCAACACCGGCTGGTATTGCACGTTGTCGTAATCGGTGTTCGGGCATATGTAATACGTGGCCCAACCATCTCAGTCGATGAAGATTCACAACCTGATCAACTGATTTATCATCATTTCTTAATACCCTGCGTCTAACCTCACTATTAAATAACCGGTGTAACTTAGAGTTAACTTGGAAACAATGTAGCAGTGGATAGTTGTTTTCGCTTAGTTTTGAGCTTATCAAAACTCTTCATGTTGTTGTCATCTTTATCTAACTTCAGATTGATTTGATTGCGGAACTCTGATGACATTGTCCAGAATGATAATAATAATGTTTTCAGAATGTTTATAAATGCTTTCAAGTAAAATCACCAACCTCAAAAAACTCATTGATACTAAGAAGCATCCAGTTGAACTATTAATCTCTGTCAAAATTAGTATTTTACTTACAAAACACTCATCATATAATCAAGTGCGTGGCCAATGTTCAATATGTTTGACTAGACTTACTAATTAATTCATGTATTACAATGTACAGTCGCTTAATTTTGAGATACACAACTGTTTAGAATACTAGATCCTCAGAAATCGTTTGATAAACTTCTTATTTTTGTAATTTAATTGTGAAAAGTTTGAGTTTCTCATATGGAAGAACCATCAACATTATTGGTTAGTTTTCTCTTTTGGTACGCTATTTGATAATACTTTTCAAATACATTTTTGTATTGTATATATTACGCATGAGTTTTATGCTTGTTATTCGTTCTTCCGGGCTGTTTGTGGAGTTTTATATTTATCCGGCTAAATCTGGTCTTCTTCTAGTTAGTAGATCTGAGGTGCGGAGCAACAGCTTAGCTTGTTCTGTTGTTGCACTGTTGATTTTCGTTCCGTTCTCTGGTTCAAGGTGACATCTTAATTTCTCGAATATAGCAACAACATGTATTGATTATTAAAACTGAAAAAAGGTAACCTAAGTTTAGTACGTGTGAAAGCTGAGTCTAGTAATCAACAAGCTATCTCTCTGACCACTCTTTATTTAATAAGTAGTTATCTGATTCATATGTTAATTTATTAGATAACTAAATGTAATGATGCACTAAAAACTTGGATTCACTATTCGATCTCAGCTACATCACCAATGAAAGCCTGAAAGACACTGACGGCCGTTCCGCCCTAATACGGGACTCCTCAAAAGTACGAATCCACGAATTCACACGCAGGACTCGGACTTAGAACTTTCGGTCTCGCGCGTGGACGCTTAACCTCTAGACCACTTAGTCGGCTCATAAATCCGACTTTAAAATATACTATAATCTCTACAAATTCCCATACTGGCAAGATGTGCGTTGTAGAAAGTCAATCGTTGCATTGGTAAAATACACGGACCAGTCATTTGTTTTTACTATTATTTTAACAAAGAAATTTAACTGTTGTTGCCTCAAACATTATTACTTAGGATTAAGCGGTTTGGAGCCATTGACCAGAAATCCTAGACTTAAGTTTCATACTATCTGACACTCAACGTGGGAATGATTCTCCTCGTGGTAATCGGACAAGCTTCATTCAGCTTCATAGTCTGAGTTGATACCACTGAGCTAATCAGGATAATACTGACCTACCGTTTGTTGATCAAGTAGTATTGGTCACTATCATGTTTATTTAGCGCTGCACTGATATAAAAAAGAGCACGTCATCATGATCAACTAAGACTAAATCGACAGAATCTAATCGTCACTGAAGGGTTATATAATTATGACATTTGTCAATAATCAAACGGTAAACAATAGTGAATAGTGAATTTTCAAAATAGTCAATATATATTTGGAGTGTTACTAGTCACCTAACTTATCGAATATAATAATCATGGTTATCCGGAATGGGTGAATATATTCTGCAAACTGTAAAAGTTTCGTTAACATACTACTTATCAGTGTATATGGTTCATTGTTTGCTTAAACAATAATTGACTTATTACGCTTTACTTAAACAACAAAAAAGATTCAACAATGGTTAGTTCTGATCAAAATATTTTCTTCTAATTGTTCAATTTAAAAAAAAAACAACCTTATACACTTAATGACTATAAGACGAGAAAACAATTGAAATAACTTGCCCGATCTACAAGTGATTGGGGTGAATAACTTCCAAGTAGGTTTGCAACATTCGGAGGAGTGCCACTATTGAGAAACAATTGGACAAAAAAACAAGCATTTAAAAGGGAATAATTAATAAATCGATATCAATGTTCAGTAGGAAATTATTCGATTCTAATGTTTAAAATTTGTTAGATAACAGTTATAGTACTTATAATGAAATTAAGTAGTCACAGATCATTTTAGATGTAAAGATACTATAAAGCAATAATTTCATACACATACTTCCCTTTATCATTTTGAAAAGAGCAAGAACAAAGATTCTAACAGAATACCATGAGTTCATTTTATTTCATAGGTTCTCGTCAGCTGCTTACAACCTGTGATATTTAAAAATCATAATTACATAATGGGTTTAAATTGCTAACTGAATATTGTAAATATATACTTAATGTGAAAGAATATTCTACAACATTAATTGTGACAACAGTTCAAAAGTGGGTTAGAAACGATCGATTACATAATGAATAAACATTGATAGGAATATAGTGAGTAGAGTTTCAGATGAAAGATTATTAATTTGAAAGATGGTTGAAAAAAATAAAATAGAGTCAATGATGTAATAAATGCAAAAGAAAGAAAAAAGGAAAAAAATTTTTAAAGTACAGTGAAGGTGTATTTGTCACCAGGGCAAGGAAAGATTAATAACCGTCCCCCTTTTGAACACATAGGTCAAGTTTTTGACGGCAACGGCTTCAGAAGACTAGAGTTTGGCTGCTTACTAATCACCCTAAAGGATTGTAAGGTATCTACCTGATGTCCTGTATCAAGATGTTTGGTGATTGCACTATTTAGAATCTTTCCTCCTCTTGCTCTGAGACTTTTTGAAACATGTTCAAAAAATCGAAGATATGTTCTCCTTTCAGTTCGGCCAATGAAGCTGCTTTGCCAGGTATACGTATATTTATAAATACAGTTGGTGGTAACATGATTTTTAAATATCACGAGAACCTACGAAATAAAAATGAATTCATGCTATTCTGCTAGAGTGTTTGTTCTTGCTCTTATCGAAGCGGTAATTGTTTGGAAAGTGAACATATTTATATTCGGTAGCGATAAACATTACAAATAATAAATTACCATATAATGATTTCAATGTACTTTATCTTGAGCAAGATTTGATGATCTTTAATAGGCTTTATGTAAAGTCATGGATATGTATTGCTGAATAGCTTTTTTTAATCCGGATAAATAATCTAACTCACTAGTGTTGTTAATAGTTTTTCATCTTAGACTAATCCTGTAATATCCTAGTGAAGATTAATTTATCGGCAGCTTCTGAGAGCTATTCAAAAAGAACAGTATTATACATATATTCTTATTGTAACTAGATTATGTATATCTATAATCCTTTTATTATAAATTGTTTTTTGGACCTATAAACTATTACTTGCTTACTTACTTACTTACTTACTTACGCCTGTTACTCCTCGTGAGGGAGCATAGGCCGCTCACCAGCATTCTCCATCCAACCCTGTCCTGGGCAATCCTTTCTAGCTCCGTCCAGTTGTAATTCATCGTTTTCATATCTGCTTCTATTATCCGACGCAATGTGTTCTTTGGTCTTCCTCTTTTTCGCCAAAGAACACATTGCGTCGGATAATAGAAGCAGATATGAAAACGATGAATTACAACTGGACGGAGCTAGAAAGGATTGCCCAGGACAGGGTTGGATGGAGAATGCTGGTGAGCGGCCTATGCTCCTTCACGAGGAGTAACAGGCGTAAGTAAGTAAGTAAGCAAGTAATAGTTTATAGGTCCAAAAAATACGCTTACCAGAAAAAATAATCCTATAAACTATTATTATACGATTTATACTCAGTTTATTATAATTACAGTTGCTCAAAATCACAGTCACGTTTTGGCTTGATCTTGCACTATGTAAAGTGAATGGTAAATAAAAACTTGCCATAACTTTATCTCTTTCTCATGGGTAGAAAAGTGTAATATGATGTTTAATACAAGAAATTAATCCATCGAATCTTTACACATTGATGAAAAGCGTTGTTCACGTATTCACAAGCTAACTGAATGTAAGATTGAGATTTGTTACAATATTTCAATATATTTTGCTGAACACTTTTTACAATAATCAGAATTTCGATAGTAGTAGGAAGGAATTATCGTTACTGTTTTTGTAGAACTAGATTTAAATGTTGATCTAGAAGTAAAGCGTTTATTGTAGGAAATAAACGTCCAGTATTCCATCGAAGAGGAGGAGAACAGCTGACAGATGCATTCCAAGTAAGGAACGGAGACGGACAAGGCTGTCTACTCTCTCCCTTCCTATTTTTTTCGATGGTCGACTGGATTATAAAGACCTCGACATCTGAGGGAAAAGATGGCATACAATGGACAGCTCAGAACCAATTAGACGATTTGGACTTCGCAGATGACCTACTACTACTTCATCAGTTGAGCTGGCTGAGACATGTGTTACGTATGCCCAACCACCGACTGTATTGTGAATCGCGAGTTGGCTACTCTAAATTCTACCGATTGACAAGCTTCAGATATCCGAGTTCGACCCCTATACTGTTCCCAATCTCCAATATATCAGAACACGAACCGTAGATGTAAAACCGTTTATGGGGTCAGGAGCAGCAGAATAATGATTTACAAACAAATGCATATTTATACAGTTAGGATTACTATAAATATTGACCAACAGAAAGATGACACGTTAAATAATATTGACCAATAGGAAAATGACACGCGAAATAAATATTGATCAGTAGGGAAACGACCAATAGGGAAATGACACCATTTAACGTTCAAGGGTAGCGTTAGACTTAACCGGATAATTGTTTTTGGGATATTTTTCTGAGTATCCCAACACCTCCCCTTTGGAGAAGTTAATAGCGACGTAACCGAGGGTTTACTTGAAGTTTCTTTGGGTGTCTTCTTTTGCGATCCGACCTCCGAGGCAACCACACAGAACCAGAAGGATGTTCTACTTGAGTAGATGACTTAGTCGTCTCTGTTGGAGGTATTGGCGGAAGTTGAAACGTGTCCAACAGCAAGTCGAGTGGGACGTGTTTTGTAATTGCTTCTTTCTCCTTCGCTTCCCTTGACCTGAGTTGATTGTGGTGCCTGGTCCAGATTTCTTGGTTCACCTTGACATCATACATGACGTTCCCATGTTTTTGTGTGATTTCACCCTCTACCCATCTATCGCATCCGTGTCTATAATCTCGCGCATACACTTTTGTACCAACTTCGTAGGGAATTCGAGTATTCTTCATCTGGGGGCTTTGCTGGGCCACTTGCTTGGGTTTCATCGCACATGAACTGTCCGCAGTTTTCGCCCCATAAGCATCTCAGCAGGGGATTTGGAGTTTGGCAATAAGTCATGCGGGGTCGTCCGGTACGCAACTAGGAATCGTTCTATGATATCTTCTGTGGTCCCCTCCCCTCGTGCTTTAAGCATGGCTCGTTTAAATGTATCAACGAACCTTTCAGCTTGCCCATTAGATTGCGGGTGATATGGCGGAGAACGAACATGGTTGATCGAATTTTGCAGGCAAAATTCTCGGAATTGGCTAGATGTGAATTGTGAACCATTGTCTGTTACTATTGTTTCTGGAAGACCATGCTGCGCGAAGATCTGATTAAGGAGTTTGATGGTTCGAGTTGTAGAGGGTGGCGCAATCGGCAATATCTCCGGCCATTTGGAGTAGGAGTCAACCAGTATCAGGTATGTGGTACCATCTAGGGGTCCGGTGAAGTCAATATGCACTCGCGACCAGGGTTTTTCTGACTTTGGCCAGGGTACTGGAGGCAACTTAGGAGGATTTTTCGCAGCTTTTTGACAATGTGAACATCTTTTGACGAAGTCGACAATCTGCTTGTCCATATTCGGCCAATATGCATGGCTGCGAGCGATGGATTTCATACGGTTTATCCCTGGGTGTCCAGAGTGGAATTGGCGTAGGACTTTGGAACGTAGGGTTGTTGGAATTACTACGCGATCACCGAACATCAGACAATCGTTAACAATACAGAGAGCGCTGCGACGATTCGCTAGTTGTTGCATATCACCACTCAGCTGCTTAACTGGCCATCTGCTCTGAACATAGGTGATCGCTTCTTGGATAATCGGGTCTTCTCTGGTAGCTTCCCGAACATCTTCAGCGGTAACAGGCATTGCTCGAACGGCATTCGCTAATAGTGTAGCACCGGAATCCTCTTCGGTTGATACTATGGCTATGAGTGTGTCCTCATCAGTGGTAGAATGGTTACTGATAAGTCTGGACAGTGCATCCGCTTGACCAAAATCTTCGGAACGTCGATACTGGATGTCGAAGTCGTACCCCAATAACGCCAACGCCCAACGTTGAAGACGATTAGCAGAATGGGCAGGAATGCCTTTCTTTGATCCAAAGATTGATAACAACGGCTTGTGGTCTGTGAGCAAGGTGAAACGGCGCCCATAAATGAATTTGTGGAATCTCCGGACAGCAAAAATTAGGGCTAACGCTTCCTTCTCTATCTGGCCGTAGCGTTTCTCAGCAGGTGTTAGTGTTCTCGAAGCGTGCATCACCGCTTTTTCTGACCCGTCGGGAAAGACATGTGAGAGTACGGCACCCAGTCCATGTGTTGAAGCGTCAGCAGCAACCACAATGGGTAGTTTCGGATTGTAGTGGGTTAGCAGAAGATTGGAACTTAGCATGGCTTTAAGTTTTGAAAAGGCTGACTCACATTGCGTTGACCAATTCCAAGTAGCATTCTTTTCTAGCAGACGATTTAATGGATATCGTACGTCATGCAGTGATGGAAGAAATGCTGAATAGTAGCTAATCATTCCCAAAAATGATCGCAGTGAGGAGACATCAGTGGGGGCAGGCATTTGTTGGATTGCGTAAGTATTTTGAGGATCAGGGTGTCGTCCGGAAGCATCAAAGATAAACCCCAGGTACTTAACGAAACGTAAGAAGAATTGGCATTTTTCTGGACGCAGGCGAAAACCATTATCCTGGAGGCGTTGCAGAACTAAGTGGGTTCTGGTATGCAATTCATCAGCAGTTGAGCCGACAATGAGCACATCGTCAAGGTATGTAGCAACACCAGGAACATCTGCCAGAATAGTGTCCATGATCTGCTGGAAGATCGCTGGAGCAGTTTTGATACCAAAGGGTAACCGGGTATACTGAAAAAGTCCTCGGTGAGTGTTGATTGTCAACAACTCTCTGGATTCGAGAGCGACTGGAATTTGAAGGTAAGCATCTGCCAGATCCAGCTTAGCAAAATAGGTACCACCATTTAAAATAGTAAATAAGTCATCTGGGATCGGCAGCGGATAGTGATGCTGTTGTAGAGCCGCGTTGAGTCCTGTGGAAAAGTCTGCACAGATGCGTATGGAACCATTGGATTTTTTTACAACCACAATTGGAGCAGCCCATGATGAATAAGAAACAGGTACTAGGACACCCTCAGTTTCCAAACGTTGAAGTTCAGCGTCAACCAGAGGTAAAGATGCGTATGGGACTGGACGCTTTGGGCGAAAAACTGGCGTAGCTTCTGACTGCAGTTTTAAAACAGCTTCAGTTGTGGAACAAAGTCCGAGACCAGGCTTAAATAGTTCAATAAATCGTTTTCGAAGGTCTTCAGCATGCTGTTGTGTAGAAGCAGTAGTTTGGACTTGATTGCAGATAGCGCTAATAGGAAGATCAGCGAGACCAAGTTCTTCGAACCAATCTAAACCTAAAAGGTTGAGCGGAGAATTGGTGATGTAGCATGTCCCATTGAAGGTTGTACCTCTGAATGAAATGCAGCAATAGAGTTCACCATGAAGGCGGAGATGACCCCCACAGGCACTGACGGCTGTCTGAGAGGATGGTTTGATGGGAGGTTGACCCAAGGTTCGCCAAGTCTTTTTCGACAGAATGGTGATATCTGATGCAGTGTCCAACTGCAAACGAACTGGCTGACCATTGATTGAGAGGGTCAGAAATTTGCGTCGAGTCGCGGCATGAGTATGGAATACTGCTGCTAAACTCCTTGATGAGGTAATCGGCTTTTTGTGAAAACGACGCTGCGTCTGTACATTTCGACGGTTATTGTATCGGTTGGATTTGCAAAAGCCGCTTTTGTGACCAACTTTCTGACAGCGATCGCACACATGCTGTTTGAATGGACAGAACTTCACATAATGCCAGGCTCCACAGTGCCAACATGGCGAGGGGGGCTTCTTCTGAGCCGGTTTAGAGTGATTAGAGATAGAAACAGCGCTGGCGTTCGAAGGACTCGAGTTTGTCGATCTCGAAGATTTTTTTTGGTGCTGAACAGCATGAACTTCGGAACCACCCTGGCCCCCAGATTGAACCAAAGTGGTGTCACGCTGCAGATTGATGATACGCTGGTATTCGTCTATGATCGCATTAAGTGTCAGTGTTGGATCTTGTTCAAGGCGGTTAAGCAACCGAGTTCTGATGTCGGAGAATTTGGGTGACTGAAGACTGCATATGAGTATTAGGGACTTGAATTGGTCTTCAGTGAGGGATCTGAGCTTGAACCGTTCGCACTCACGGTTAACAACGCCGACGTGGGTCAGGAAGTCATCGGACTCATTCATGACCAGTTTTAAGCAGCGATATCGGGTACTGAAGAGTGAGTGATGATCACCAAAAAGTTGGCTAAGGGACTGAATAGTGGCGTCGAATGAACGGTCGCGTGGGTTCTGCGGTAGAATGAAGTTGCAATACTTATCCAGCTCGGATGGACCAAGTTTACGAAGAAGAAGACGCACCTTCCACGAATCATCTCTGTCAGCAAGGTCAACTTTGAAAAGGTCTTCATAACGTCTGAACCAGGTATCAAATGTAATGTTGGCATCAGGATCATAAAGAAATTCTGAAATACCACTGGTAATACCATCAACTGATTCAGGAATTGTCGGTGTAGTTGGGACTCGAGAAGATATGTGCGTCTGAGTAATCATCTCCATCAGCTTCAGCTGCTGTTCGAACAATTTTTCTAATTTGGCTGGATCCATAGTTATTCACCAACTTGTTGCTAAATCTCCGTCGCCAATTTATTGTGAATCGCGAGTTGGCTACTCTAAATTCTACCGATTGACAAGCTTCAGATATCCGAGTTCGACCCCTATACTGTTCCCAATCTCCAATATATCAGAACACGAACCGTAGATGTAAAACCGTTTATGGGGTCAGGAGCAGCAGAATAATGATTTACAAACAAATGCATATTTATACAGTTAGGATTACTATAAATATTGACCAACAGAAAGATGACACGTTAAATAATATTGACCAATAGGAAAATGACACGCGAAATAAATATTGATCAGTAGGGAAACGACCAATAGGGAAATGACACCATTTAGCGTTCAAGGGTAGCGTTAGACTTAACCGGATAATTGTTTTTGGGATATTTTTCTGAGTATCCCAACAGACTGCCTCGGCGAGCGATGCTTCATGGTGTAGGAGTAGGTTGGAATAGATCTACAGGTGGCCATACCAAAACATGGCACAAATCCATGAAGTCACTGACAAGTGGACATGCTGGTAGGTGTCGACTACCTGCTGGGGATCTGCGAGATGATAGCAACCGATGGTTAGAGACCTTGAATGACACAGTGAAAATCGTTTGCAGTGGTGCAGGTGCATCCACTCTTTGTGTTCTCCCAAATTCTAATCTTTTGAATTCTTCATGTCCCTTTCTTCTCCTTCCAAATTTGTTTCGCTGGATTATACGCCTCGAATAACATCTTCAAACCCTACTGTTTCCGATTACTGCCTATACTTTAACTACCTCTACCATTATGGGATTTGAATTGATAATTTTATCGCTGTGGTAATGTGGCATGGCAACTTGAACTGATGTCCGTAAGTACGATTTCTAAGTTGTTGCTCACTGACTGACATACTACATACAATTTCAACAATATTAATTAGAACTAAACACTTTAAGGGATATGATTTTTCCTGTCCTTATATATATAAACTTTATTTAACATTACCAATGAAGATATTCTGTAAATGTTTAAGACGTAATCGACATTTTCAATTTTATCGATTATAACAAAACAATAATAATTTTAGATTTATAACTGTGTGGAGTTTGAATTGATCTGAATCTTCATATTGATGTTTAGGACAGTAAATGATCAGTCTCTTAGCGGCATATTTGCATCCTGTGCCGACTGTCTCGATATTAAATTAATTCACAATAATTATAAACAGAGTTGGATGGTGTTTTAGAATCGAATAGATGACGTTTCATTATATTTGGAACTCGTCAGCTGGATGTATCTGCATCTCAGAATTAATGTTCCACAGCTAGCTACTCTCCGATCTTTGTGTGGAGTTAAATGAAGAAGTTGTCAAAAAATCTTTATCTCTAGCTTTTTCTCTTCTTGAATATCCTGTGAGAATTTTTGAAAATGTTTATTATAACTATTACACAAAATCCTGGCATTATTGATTTTACTTTGGTGTCTATGAATACCTTTATATATTTAATCAATGAATTTTGTAATGTACATTACTTACGTAATCAGTAATAATAGTAATTTTCTAGTGGTAGATCATTTTTTTTACTGTTTCAGAATTTTACTTGTGATTCAATCGTTTTATCTGAATCTTTTAATGAATTTACCATCGATTTGAATATGCAATAATGTAAATTACGAGGATTACAGTCAGAAAACAAGATTACTATCAGTATACCCCACACGGATTAGCTCTGTGTCTAGTAGAAACAGGTATCTATCTCAGTACAATGGAAAATGGTCGCGCAATTTCGTGGATTGGTTGAGGTTAAACACTACCACCGTTAGATACCGACACAGTGCTTTAGAGGTTGAGCGTTCGTGCGCGAGACTAAAGGCCCTGGGTTCGAATCCTGCAAGACGGGATCGTAGATTCGCACTACTGAGGAGTCTCATGGTGGGATGACACACCCATCCAGTGCTTTCAGGTTTTCAATGTTGGTCTAACATCAATCAATTCATGATCTCAATCAAAAACAACACTATTGTCTATGAATATTTAGATCTTACAATTGAACTATTTCATCAATAATTCATAGGAAAAATGTAATAAAATGACTTACTGATAATTAGTTACATTCCGTTCATACTGATTATCATCAATCTGTTCATAAAATTGATATTTATTTTGCTTTAAATTAATGTTAGTTGCATTGTAATTTTCATCATGAACATCATTATTATCTGTTAACTTGAATAATCAATAATACAAAAAAATTGTTACTATGACATTTTCGACAACAAAAAATTACAAAAATAAAAATAGACAAAATGAATTATGTAATAATTAATGACTAATAGTGGACGGAATATAAAACTTACATATTTTTCCTTATGAAAACTGACTAATAGTTTAGTATCAGAAGGGGTTTTGTGGAAATTTTAGTAATTTCAACAGTTGAGATCATGAGTCGATTGAAACTAGACCACCATGGAAAACCTGGAAGCACTGGACGACCATTCCGTCCTATTGTGGTCTCAACTGTTGTAATAGTTTAGTAATTATATTGATGGTAATTAAGAGAATTTGAAAAGTATACAACAGAAGATTGACCATCAGAAGGAAATCTAAATATCGAGGGAATATTAAAATGAGCTCATTGATATGTTGAATATATATTTAGATTGGTTTAGGAATTCAATAATTAAAATTATTACAATCTTCACAAACTTTAATTCTGATAATAAACATCTACTCTCTAGTGACAAGCTTCAAGATGGATTTCCCGGAGTTATAATTAGAAGCAGTAATCTGTGGAGTCTAACCCGTGTCGAGTAGAGACAGTCATCCACCTCAGGTAATGGATGAAAGGGTTGCGCAAAATCGGAGATCTAATGAAGATAGTCTACAAGTGTTAAGCGTTGGAGTGTAAGAACGAATGTTCTTGGTTTGAGTCTCGTGTGAATGGTCATGGATGCGCATTCCTGATGAGTCCTATAAAAGAATGAAACAGTCGTTCAATGCTTCCGGTTTTTTAATGGCAGTCTAGCTTAGATCGACTAATGAATTCAATTATTAAAATTTAAAAAATGAATAACGATTTTAGGTGGAATAATTTTTCAAATCTTCACCTATTTGACAAATAACCACAGGAAATTTCAGCGCTAAATCATGGTTATGATTTGACATAAATTACAACAGGTAACGTCCATTGAATTAGACATCGCTTTATTAACTCATTTTCTCAGAATTCATTCTGTGAATTAGATAAGTTCATATAAGTAGAACTTTCTGTGGTCAAAAAAGTCTCTGTTAATAATGTAATTAATTCCTCCTGGAATAATATAAGTTCTCAAATACCAAGATGTTATTTCCTGAAATATCTATAAAATGAATGTTCACTTATCACTTCATAATTAACATCTTGTAAAATCGACGGAGAAAAGTTTTTGATGTAAAAACAATTTAACATAGTCTCATTTCAATTGTAATATGCTAATCAGAAAGCATGAGCTTGTTTTACAGATTAGATTAATCTTAAATGAATTCAAAGCTGAGAGCATTTAAGTCACTGAGAACAATGTTTTTATGTTTACAGTTGTACTACTATTATAGATGATAGTAGTTAAAATTTTAAAAAAGAAATAAAACTTGAGCAATCCTAATTCAGTTAAATCAACATAACAATTTGATCATCTATTAAGGTTTCTTTCTCAATTACAGTATATTTCAAAATGTATGCCATAGTGACTCATACCTGAAATTCTCGAATCTTCATACTGAAATGTCTTAGGCTTGTTATCTCAGATAGAAGTTTCGCAATAAGTTACTATAGGCCGATTTGACCACATTTAAAATTGAGAGAAAAGAGACTCCATGACACAGTGTTACAGTATCAAGAACGATACAATAGGTTTATTTATTCATAATAAGACAAACTGATTCTCTTTAGATAACAAATTTTGAGCAATTATTTTTTTCACTAAATTGAATGTATTCACTAAACAAGTGGTCTGCACAACAAAATGAATATCTATTATCTAATACTGGCTGTTGTCAACAAACTATTTCTTTAAGCAAAAACAGACTGAATTCAGTTGGATACTCTTTGAATAATAATAAAACATGAAAGTTGCTTTGCCACAATATGAGGTTAGAAAGCATTATGCATTCACAAACCCTCAATGTATCGAACCCAGATCGCTTAAATATCAAACCACTGAGTTAGCAATCGATGGTTCAGATTTTCAACATCACTAACCATTATCAGTTATTGTCGGTGATAACTATTTCACTATTGACATTGTTGAGCTTCATCTGCCAAGTCCTCTCACTAGAACTTTAGGAGTGGTATTGTTTGCTACATATGTATTTATCTAAATTGACGTAGAACTTCAAAATTTCCATAGCATTATTAGGGCGATTAATTCATTGCCAGAATTCACAACTGACTATCAGGGACTTTCAAATGCTGTTTAATGTGAAATTAATTTTCATCACAGACTGATACTAAATGAAAAACTACAGAAAATTAGAATTCCCTAAGCATAAAATGTCTAGCATTAAACATTAAACAAAAATAGACGGTGAATGAAATTCCTCACTAACTTTGAACTGTAATTCATACTGAAATAGTCACACACACACAGAGAGAAGTTAGTTGGACTACTGAATAAAATACCCAAATGTTCATACACATATATATCAGTTCATCCTTAGGGAATTGACCCAGTGACCTCGATGAAGTGCAGTTGACCTTAAGTTCATTTTTGATTATCATCGATTGACCTTTTGCGTCCTAGATTCTACTATTAGCCATTATCCATCTTTGCTTAGAATGCATGTGAATTAAAGCAATATCGAGACAATCCGTACACAACGCACATATGCCAATAAGAGACTGGTCAATTTCAATTGTAAATAACAATGGGAAGATCCAAGTAAACAATACCAAGTGAATTTAGATAGAAGTTTACAGAAGTGTACAGCTATTGCAAGACTTTGGATTGTTTCAATTAAAATGAAGTTACTTTATAGACATATTAAGATATGCACAGTGCTAATTTCTAACATCACCCAATACATGACACTGCGCTACCATTTTCTATTGTCTTCGATGAGTAAATGATTCACATCTGACACAGTTTGGTCTTCGAGGTACAAATTCCATCTGAAGTTTGTGCTGATGATGTCGTTCAGAAGAACGATGAAAGCTCCACGACCAAACCATCTAGCTCAGAGAACAAAACTCCATCAAAATCATCCACCTGAGCTACAAATCTTCTCCACCATCACAAATTCCATTCAACATCTAGCGAATTTACACACATGTATTTATCTAAATTGGTTTAGAAAGTATAATCTTTCCATAGTATTATTTGGACGAGTAACGAAGTGCTTGAGTTCACAATTACAATTCCCTAAATGGTAGTTTTATTCTTTTCTATTTTTGGAAAAAATGAACCTTCCATCCATAATGTATGATGATATTGTTGCATTCTAAGCTGACTGACAATTTAATTGTTAATAATTCACTTCTAATCCTGATTTAAAGTAATCATATTAGCAATGACAATTCAATATCCTCATTTTACACTCTCTACTACTGTGATGCGTGCTACTTATATTGATATAAGTAGTATATGACGCGAGTTAGGAATGTAATTTCTGGCAGCAGATGAGAAGGATCAGGAAAGGAAGAGCGAGAATAGAAAGTAATTAATATGGAAATGCAAGAACAACGAAGTTCTAGACAATTATTGAACATTTTGCAAGTTAAATATCATAGTATGGTTTTTCTATTTTACCAAGTAACTCGGTAATTTTGTTTTAAATATGAATCGTTTGTCCCGACCCGTGTTCTGTTCACTACACTACTACTACTACTACTATTACTATCATTGCTGAAGTAAGTTTATGTACTAATATAGGCAGACTCCTACATAGAATTTCTAGTTCTTACATGATCATTCTATGTATTGCTTTTCTTCTGTTTTTTTTTTGTTTTTCTAAAATGTCGGACACATTTTAAACATGAGGATTTCATTTCATTCATACAATCTATCTAATATGATCGAAGTAAATTATAATTATAAGTGACATCAAAATAAAGAGAAATATAGAATGAAACATTAAACAAATATAGATAATTTGAATGAAATTCCTCGTTGATTTTGAACTGTCATTCATGTTGAAATACTTACAGAGAGAAGGAGAGAGAGAGAGAGATAGATAGAAAGAGCGAGAGATGGGGAGGCAAGGAGAATGAATGTTAGAATTTTTATTTGTGTATCTGTATGCGTGTGATGAGGATGATGATGAATACAGTCAGAAAGTTGTTTGTAAACAATGAATTAAATTGTAAAAATAATAAATAAAAATTTCCTGGTTAAAATCAATCGAAGATATGAGAATACCAACAACAACAACAACAACAAAAAGAGAAATATATATTTATAATGTATGATAGATTAATATAAACAACTACATTGGATAAAGTGAACTGTGAGTTAAGTCATTCATATTCAAATACAATCTATCAATTATCGACAACAGTGGGACTATCGTAACTAATGGTTGAAGATTGTGGGTGACATGGCTCAGAATCGATCACAATGATGTAGGTGTATACACTCTTTTTTTCTACCAACTACTTCTTTCTCCCTCTGTTATATCCTTATGTTCGATCTTTCTTTTATACCTTACTACTATTGAGGTGACTACTTCTATGAATTTGATGTTTATCTTGTTGTGCTAACGAGGTATGGCAACTTAGACTGATGCGCATATATGTGTCTGGTCCTACGTTGTAACTGGCTGACTGACAGACTGATTATGAATTCGATTAAAATGGAATAACAGTATATGTTTTGTTATGTTAAGGAATTTATAAAGGAGATATAAGTAATCAGTTTGATAGAAGAAATCAATTGAAACAGGATATAAAGTCCAATTTATTATAAAATACACTTTCTTCAATCTTAATTCGTGAATAAAAACGTCAAGACAAGAAGACAGACGAAAAGCTAGAATATTCGTCATTAAATTGTAAATATCGAACTTGTCTTATGGCCGTTTCGTCGTACTGTGGGACTCCTTAGCAGTGCGCATCCACGACGCCACCTCGCGGGATTCCAGTGCTCTCAGGTTTTCCATGGTGGTCTAGCTTCAATTGAATTATGATCTCAACTGTTGAAATTACTACAATCTCCACAAAACCCCTTCTGATACAATCGAATGTATTCGACACAAAATTACACGACTTGTTAATAAAATCTAACAATCATAAAGTAAACGTTTGATTTGCAAAATGTCCACCAATGGTCTCATGATGACTCAGACTTCATTGTTCTCGCATTTTCATACAAATTGCATTCTGTTTCCATTCTTTACTGTTTGATTCTCTTGTCTCTCTGCTACCAGACATTCTGTTCCTGGCTAACATCATCTACTACTTATGTCAATATAAGTAGCACACACACCACATTATAAATTATTTTCAATTATCAAGTAATACGTATAGACGTATAACTATGCATATAGAGATATTATGATTCATATCTTGTATACTATTTTATTCTTTATCCTTAAACTAAATCAAACCCAAACTGTGATATATCTATCTATCTATCTATCTTTTTTCTCTTTTAAAATGCATTGAATAAAATAAATTAAATTTCTCTTTCTCAAAGTTTCTCTGACCTAGTGAAATAGTTTTCATTGTTTCCTACGGTTTTCGTTATTATTATTATTATTGTTATAACGGTGACTCTGTTAATCAACCAACCAACGAAATACTACTACTAATAATAATAATAATAACGCGAAACTTTCAGTCGTTTCATTTTCCTCTCTTAACCTAATCCTCTCTCTCTCTCTCTCCTTAATCATTGTCTACTACTACCAATTCAAACTCTGGCATCGTTTTCAACTCATTGACCTCATCAGGTAATTAGGTCATTATTTATGGACTATCAAAACTAAAGTGATTAGAGGAATAATAGGGCGAATAACAACAACAACAACAACGACAACAATAAAAAATATATATATATATAGTTAAACTTTCTTTCTTCCTAGTAAACTGAAATCCAGTAAATAATTCTTTTTATACTTGACTAAGTTAACTAAAATGATTATGGTCAATTGGTAAACTGTGAATAATGAATAAAACAGAAGAACAAGAAGAAGAAGAAGAAAGAAAAGAAAAAAGAAAGAAAGAAAGAAAAAATCAAGGAAATAAGAAAAGATTGTTATTATTATTATATCCCAAAACGAGATAACTGATAAGAGCTGCGTATTTGTTTTTTTCTAAGCGTGTAGTATAGTAACCGTAGAAAAATTGATTTGATATATTCTTGGTTAAAAAAATTTTACAATTCTATTTAATAATATAAACAATTGAAAAAGGTGTATTGAAAACAAACGCTGATTTAAGAAAGTAATTTTCGTAAATGTGTACGTAACTATGGATACACACTGCTGAAGAGTCCTATAATATTATGAAACGGCCGTTCTGTATTTCCATGTTTTCAATGGTAAACTTAAATAGTTTCAATGGAATGAGTGACAGTCGAATTCTGTCATGATTGTAGTAAAAAATAGAAGTATTGATTGTCATAAATGATTGTTAAGATATGTGCTGAAATGATCAAAGTTTAAAGTGGTCACGATAAACCCTGGATCCCTTGAGTTTTAATCACTGACGTGGTTTCATATATACAAAAAACGTCCTGCAATATACTTTCTGGTTTTTGAATTCTAAACAATCTCATTAAAAAATCTATACGCTAACACAATCTTTACATTTGATATATTCTTCGATTTGCATTTATTCTCGTTTCTATTTAGAATGGTTATTAAAATTAAGTGGCAACCACTTATCACTGAGAAATTTGAATAAACAGTATTAAAGCCATCAGAGTAATGGTTGAATTTCATTTAGATGAAATGCATTTAAATGACAGCGTACTATTAAGCTGGATTTTCTGTTATATCAATTACAAGTGGCTATCAGGGCTCAGTAGCTAAGTGGATAACGCGTGTCCTGGATTCCACTGCTAGCCACTATCCATCTTTGCTTATCAATTACATTGTTTTTTTTCTAGCATACTACTGTATCACTGAAATCGAAGTTTAAACTACATCTGTGATGTATGCTACTTATGTCTGTCAACATAATTAGTATATTATTCCGATCGAAAGTGGAAAACCTGGCAGCAGGAGGCTATGAAGATCGAGTTGAAGAGAATCGAAAAGAAATTTTTTTTAAAAAGGGTTGTGGACTGAAAGAATCTCATAAAATGTTTTACTAAGATACTCTGTAATTTTGTAATAAATACATTGGTTGTGTCCCACTTGAGTTGTAGTTCATTGTGTAGTGAACAAGAACAATAGTGGGTACAATCGAATGCATTTGATATGAAATTGAAGAGCATCTCATTAAAATCTGAAAACCATATAATAAAAGGTTAATTTTCAAAATAATAATCCATCGTCTCAAGCTTGATTGTTCCTTTTGCAAATATCAGTTTATTGTCTCAGATTTCATTGTTCATGCTATTTCATACTAATTGCGTTTCATTCCCATTTTTTTTCCTTATCGATCTACTACTGAAATACATTTTATGCATGACCAACGTTATATACTACTTATGTGGATATAAGTAACCTACACCACAAATGCACATAATGTAAAATCTATTGAGTTACTTGGCTTTATAAGATTTTTGTATATTTAAAGAAGACATGGTGTTGTTCCGCATTTTTACAAAAGAATCTAACTTACATTCAAAGACATTACATTATTAATTATTAATGGAAGTAAAATAAAGGGATTTAATCGGATTCTGGCTATGTACCTTAATTGCATATTGTCTATGCCAGATGACTTCAGAATTATCGGTGAATACGAACCTATACATTATAGACTAAGGTATTTTAAAATGATTGTGTCATATCCTAGTGAAGATTAAATTACGAGTAACTTCTCAGATCTGTTAATGAACTCATATTCTATATGTATTCATATTGTATAACTATTCATTTACTAGATTATGTATATCTATATTACTTTTATTATAAGCTTCATTTTGAATTATAGATTATTATTATACGATTAACTGTTCTAAAGTTATGTCCAGATTATTAATTACAATCTCCCACGTTCACAGCCACATTTTGGCTTGATCTTGTATCTTGTATAAATGTTATTTCCTATTTTACGGTGTGATGTGATTTGTTTGACTGGTATATAAACAAAATATGTTTGAAATAAACGATTCGCATAGTGAAAGCTATTATTGGCATTCTGGACTCAACTGGGTGTACTAGACGAACATAGGACCAATAAAGACGCTAGGCTGCTCATATCGGTTGAACGTCATTGGTTTGGTACAATACTAAGATTGAATAAGTCGTATTTCGATTGGCCGATAAATCACGTGATAACTAGCCTAGCTTAAGTTCACAACAGATTGATATGACATATAGTTTGAAATAAAATATGATAATAATCGAAAATTCAAATTGTCATGGGGTCAAAAAAAAACAATGACAATTGGCTTCTTGAAAATATATAGATCATCTTCACTGAGGTTAATCTGTCAACTACTTTGTCGAAACTTAGTAAAGCTAAATTTTGGTTGCTAAATAATTATTTTTTTAAAAAAAACTTTAAGATCTCAACATTATAAACCATATCAATTATGTGTAACGCATACATACGTAAATGAACAATCTCATTCATTGTCTTCGTCAATTTTCTTCAGTATTTAAACTTTACTTTCTAAACTGAATCGCATAATGATTAACAGTGAAATCCAAGACGAACGTATTGACCTATGTGAAATTATTGAGTTGAAAATACTTGTGTCTCATCGCTGATGTTCACACCGAGACTCTAACTCAATGTCCTTCACTTAAAACACTAACACGTTATCTATTTAGTTATTGACTTCAGGTAAGCGATGGGTTGTATAATGAAGATAAATTGAGCCTTGCTCCTGTGGATGTCAAGATCTATAAGTTATCAGTGTAACTATGTTTTACAGACAAAATGCTTGTAAATGGTATTAATATCAAGGCAATTCGTTTAGGATACAAAGATATCAAACTGACTGATCCGTTGAAATCTTTAACACTAACAACAGAGACATTCCAACCTAATGAATAGAATTAAATCATCTACACTTGTTTGAGAAATAATATGTTATCTTTCATCTATAATTGCAAACATTCATTTTACTCAAGCTGTAAGCAGTTGATGTAATGAATTCATAAATCAATTATTACTTTGAACATAGTTCTCGATATTTTTCTTGAAGATCAATATGCTAAACATTAATGGCATATTCAGTAAACTAAACTATTTATAATAACCACAACAACTACCATATATATATAGATCCAAACAAACAAGAAATAAATGTCGTTACTAGGTAATCTTAATCTATAGAGAATATGATATTGACTATTCAGTTCTGATGCCTAAAGCTTAACCTTCAATGCTTACTGGTCTCCAATGGTTATTCACAATTTAAATTAAATTCAACAGTTTACAAAATAAATAATAATAATATTGATTGTAAATATTGATTATTTTTTACCGTTTTCAATTTTGATAAATTCATTTGTTGTAAATGATTTGTAACCAAGGATCGATTTATGTTCTCTATTGCATTTACATTACATGGTTGAGCTAATGGAGGTAATGAAAGTGATGTTTTTAATAAAGAAGTATCATGATGTTGATGATGATGTTGATGATGATGATGATGATGGTGAAGAAGTGGAGGATCAACAGGAGTAGGTTTATTCAATCGATGAATTAATGGAGATGTTATAGATACAGATGTTTGTTTAGTATTAAATGTTGGTTTAGTAATGATAGATGATGTATTTGTAGGTGGTCTAAATGCAGCTGATGTTTTTGTACTATATAATTCATATTCTAATCCACCTGTAATGAGAAAAAAATAGATATGGAAAATCGAGAAATGTACCAAATTACGTTATTTAGTGTGTAAAGGCAGTTAATGAATACTGTTAAAATGTAATTTAAATTAGAGATAATGTAAAATAGAAAAAAGAAAGATTTTATCCACAATGTATATTTAAAACGTACCCAGATTATATCAAAGTATAAGTGAAGATAGATAATGGTTAGCAGTAGAATTCATAAAGTATGTATTCCTTCTTGTTAGAGTCTAGTTACATGCATATACCTTTATCCCAGTATTTATGCTCACAATGGAACTCGAACCCAATGCCTTTCACTTCAAAAGTTAATGGAAATTTATGAAGATTATTTGAAGTCTAAACAAATACGAAATTTTTTTCCTCTTTACTAATATATATGATATCTGTTATGGTCAGTAATCATTATCAATCTGAAACCTAAGATGAATTTGTATCATTTTTATGTTGTCCCAGTTTGATAGAAATGAAATTTAATAACTGAATTCATGAGTCAATTAAAGCTAAACCATCATGGGAAACCTGGAAGCACAGGACGGCTGTTTCGTCTTATTGTGTTGCTTATCAGTAGTGCATATCCACAGTTCCACCACGTGAGGTTTGAACTCGGAACCTATCGGTTTCGGGCGCGAACGCTTAACGTTTAGACCACTGAGCTGGCATCCAGGTTGTCTAGGTAAACTTATTATCCTACACTTACATATCGTTATCAGGCAATCCATTTCTGTTGGTTATTACTTTAGTACTCTGACAATTTAAAATGAAACAGAATGAAACTTTAAGAAGTTTATACTAATCAATTTATCACAGAAATATCAGGTGTAAGGTTACAAATTTCAATCACTTTACTATCAGATTGTTGTATTTTTAGTTTCCTAGTCTTGTTTTCATAACTCTATAAACTGTTCATTATCAAGGTTATCAAAATTGCATAGTGATCAAACAATCGTAAAATAACTGAATCTTATAGTTAATTAGTCAAAGTTTGAATGATTTAATTGTAGTGTGGTGTGTGCTACTTATATCGACATAAGTAGTATATGTTGTTTGGAACAGAATGTCTGGTAGCAGAGAGACAATAGGATCGAACAGTAAAGAATGGAAACAGAATGCAATTTGTATGAAAATGCAAGAACAATAAAGTCTGAGTCATTATGAGACCATTGGTGGACATTTTGCAAATCAAACGTTTACTTTATGATTGTTAAATTTTATTAACAAGTCGTGTAATTTTGTGTCGATAACATTCGACTGTATCCACTCGTGCTCCTGTTCGCTACAGCAGCATCACAAACTATGAAGCTATAAGATGTGAGTACAAATGTCACAGGAAACTATCAATTCCCTCAGGATAATAGATATGATTTACTAAAGATTATCGACAAGTATGAAATATAAGACAACATAGAATTTCCTATCGGTTACTTTAAATCACCTAATAAATTTACTTTACATAACACTTTTTATCATCTGTATGATTATCATTGCAAATTGAATTAGATTATAATAACAATCCAAATGAAATGATAACTTGTGAACCGGTGTACCCTGTACATTGGATAACGCAACGACATCGCCAATCAGAGAGCAGCGAATTATCGATCGGATCAGGGACGCATGAAACACGTGCGAGTAACCTAGTGTCCTTATCGGTCTTGCTTCCTGTCTAGCCCAGCCAGTTGAGTCCAGAACACCAATCTCAGGCTCTGCAATATGAATCATTATTTCAAACATACCGGGTTTATATACCAATCAAATAGACTACAACGTACCATAAAATAGAAAATAACATTTGTACAATATTTGGCCAAAAGTGGCTGTGAATGAGGGAGATAGTAATTAATAGACAGGTCATAACTCAAGAATGGTAAATCGTATAATAATAGTCTATGGGTCAAATTAAACCTTATAATAAGGGCAACATGAATATGAACGATAAAAATATACTCATAGTATTGGTCCGTAAATGGATCCCAAAAGTTATCATTCATTATGTTTATCGGGATATAACAATAATATACATTAGTGATTATCTTTTTATACAATTCATAGTTTTACAATTGTAATTAATTAGCTTATCTCTAACTTGTTTTTTTTTTCATTTTTTCACTTCGTTTTTGTAATATTAACAACAGCAACAACAACAATAATAAAAATGAGAACACCACCTTTATACTTAACCATTCTCTTGGGATGTTTTTTTTCCTTTTGTGAAAAGAAATACCCCGGGGAAAGTTTAACTCGTTCAATAGAATGTGTGTAATTGAATCGAATAAAAAGAAAAAGAAAATCTTAACTATCAAAGAAAATAACGAAATACATTTTATGTGAGAACATATTGAGATCAATAGTTTTTCTTTCTTTTTTTCCTTGTTTTTGTTCCATAGAAAACGTTTTTCATAAAGAGAAAATCTATTTTTTAAAAAATTTTTTTCTCTAATTGAAAATTTTGGGTAAAATATTTTTTGTTGTTGTTGTAAGTTTAAGCATTAAAATCTTCTTCTTTTCCCGTCAATTTTCTTTTTTTTAATCAACTGAGTAAAATTTCTTAGTGTTCTTTAGAAGTTTAGACAGGATTTGATTATTTAATAGATTGCATTCGTTTAAATCATGAGTCAATTAAAGCTAGAACACCATGGAAAACCTGGAAGCACTGGATGGCCGTTTCGTCTTAGTATGGGACTCCTCAGTGGCAGCGTGCACTCACGATCCCGCCCCCCCATGAGATTCGAAGCCATAACCTATCAGTCTCGCACGCGGGCGCTTAACCATTGGACTACTGAGCCGGCAATAAACGGTGTTACTGTCTAACTTCAACCAATCTACGAAATTGGGTCACCATACAACATTGTCTTCAGTGAGCTGATATCTTACAACAGACCTGGTTGAACTCCACTAGTCACGGCTTCTCACTAGAACTCCAGAAAATGCCTCTTAATACATAACAAAAGACAATATAATAAATAAGAAACTTTTAAATTTGAACACCTTTAGAGAAAATCTTGATTATCCCGCGCTTCTTATTACTTGAAATGTGATGTGTACTACTGATGTCGATATCAGTATCAGTAGTAGGTATCATCAATCGAAAGTGAAATACCTGGTAGCAGAAGATTAAGAAAATTGAAGTGAAGAGAATGAGAACAGTGAATGATTGGTATGGAAACGAAGAAACAACAAAATATGAGACAATTGATTGACATTTTACAAATGACTTATTTATTGTATGATTTTTAGATTTTAACGAGATATTCTGTAATTTTGTATTCATATACATTTGGTAGCCTCTCCCCCCCCCATCCACTTGTGTGTTCTCGTTCATTAGAGAAAAACTCTCAATATAATACAAGAATAATTCTATTCTTCATTATTTAGAGAACAATAGAAAGGGATTGTTTTTATGAAACAGTAGACAACCTTATCCAAATTTAATGCTAACTTGTTATGTAATTATGTATTTTTCTTGATTGGTAATGATCGAATTATTATATTTTAATTAGAAACTACATTTAATGTGACTTTGATTCTTCGTAAGACTTGGCATGAAATCGATTCTGGTGGAGTTTTGTTCTCTGAGCTTCACCCAAATCATCTACCTGAGCTACAAATCTTCTCCATCATGAAATCGATTCGCCAAGTACTTGTCCTACAACGGACAACGTGAAAATTCTGTCCAGTGTTCAAATTAATATATCAATGAGAAATCGCTCTGTTTATTGAAATGTAGATTGACTCAAAGAATTCAAAGTGCTTGATCACCCGTTTAATTGTATTTGTGGTTAAATATCTTCTTTATTTGATGATGATTTGATTTATCAAACGCCCTTATTCAATTACTACCAACTATTTTAAGCATTCAGATATTCAGATCAGAAGTTGGGAGCTAGAAGATGTCAACCACTGAGGCCAAAACGCCTCTAAGATATTTCATATTTTAATTGATGAAAAATTCCCATTATATTATAAACACAATTGTATGAACGAAGACTATTCTTTTCAATCATTTCTCATCAGGCGCTCTACAATTATAAATCCAGATTAATAATCCATAAAATTGGCCAGATTTAAGGCAAAGAGCACATCATCATTTGGAAATTGTAATATGTGAATCAGGAATTGTTTGTTATATAAAAATAAAATCGTTAATGTTGGGGCTGACTAATATGAAGTGTTAACTTGAAACGGTTTATAAGCGAAATGAAATTGTGAGATAAATTATCAGAATAAATATGGTCAACATGGGGTAAGAGAGAGAGAGAGCGAGAGAATATTGTGATTACAAATCGGAAATTGCGTAATATGTAAAATAATCAGGTCAAATATAGTAGGTTCAGGGGTGGATATTAAATAAATTCCTCAAAAAGGGTTTATCAAGTGTAAAGACAATAATAGTAATAATAATAATAAGTTTGGGACATAAAATGAACATTAATCAGATTATGTCACCACATTATAAGATTGATTATTAGCTAGTTGGCCAGGGTAAAAGGGAGAGGCTGAACATACTTCTTTTGGATACAAATCTGGATTTATAATTGTAGAACCTGATGAGAAATTATTGAAAAGAATATTCTTCGTTCATACAATTGTATTTCATATTTCACAAAAAGCAGAAGTTCTTGTGCCCTTTTTCCATCTCACTCTAAAAATGTAGACTTATTCTTAAGAAAGAAAGACCATGAAACAAGACAATCAGACATATCAGTTGAAAGAAAAATAATAAGTGAGAGATGCTGATATGCGCACACCCTTCAAATGACTGTTTATTCACAACATATCTCATATCAAAATTACTAAACATTTCGAGTATTTTCATTTATTTTCGTTTGAACATACCACAACAGACTTCATTTCAAATTAACTCAATATGTCCTGAGTACCTGACAATTGAATCTTTTTTGAAGGTACCACTTACAACAGCCAACAGTTGATATCATCAAAGACGGAAGAACAATTATTCTTTATGCTTTTATGAGCTGGTCA